TTCCGCAGAGGTGAGCCGTACTGATTCCCATTTATATGAATAACTGTATGAGTTATCTCACTTACAATGAGTTATTATCAAAAGTTCGCAAGGGTCGTATGTAAAACGTGATTGATCTTAACCGTCTCACCTCGACAATAGTTGAAAGCTATACAAGTCCTATTAAAATTATGAATGCGAAAGTTTGTGAAGATGCATGTGTGTGTGTCTGTGTGTTTTGTTACTCTTTCACGTCAAAACGGGTGAATGGATCGCGATGAAATGTGGAACAGGGGAGACTATGGTTTAAATACAAACTTTAAATTATTTAAATGTCCGTCTGGTAGATTATTTTAAAACACTCGCTTCTGCCCGCGACTTCGTACGCGCAATCCCGTTTTCTCCCGTTCCCGTAGGATTTTCAGATTTTTTTCTGTGTTTAACTGTAAAACACCGCGAGGACACCGGTGACCGCAACCTATTGTTCTTTAATTATGTCTATAATGACGGTACTCAACGAGTTAACATAGGCTACTTTTTTTTTCTTACGGACCGCGAGCGAATTTCATAATATCGTTTACTTTACACATGTTCAAACATAAGTAAAGTGTTGCCTATTTGGTAATTTACTGATCCCACTGTGGAGAAACTTTAAAAAAGAAAATTAATTAAATGTAAACAATAAAAGTTTTTAAACCCGTAAAAGCACGATGGCAAATTCTGTAGAATTTCCGAACGCTTAATTCATTAAAATCAATATAGGTATTACGTATTTCGGAACAATGTAACAAATAGGTATTATGTCAGTAGAACCGCATCCTGTCATGTTTCCACAATGTACAACACAGCTCGAAGCCTGTGTGACAGACCACACAAAAGGACAACCGGCTTTTATTCACAACGTTTTTGTTCCTGCAGCTCAAAGAATCGTGTTAACAAACCATCAATACATGAATGCCTGCAACGGGGGAGAAAGATGTCACAGTTTCTCTGTCATCACGAGTGAATTTGTACGAAAATAATTGTCCATTAACGTCAAATTCTCGTACGTGCGCTGGCCAGTTATAACAATAAGCAAACGATCTCTGCAGAGCTAGACAATAATTAGGTACGGACAGCCGTCAATCTCATCCGGTAACACGCTTTGATAAATAATACATTGTTCGAGCCACATATCTGCATCGCGTGTCCGTCCACTCTTGAATTTTCACTGAAAACAGAGTAACGCTTCGGCAACGCGCGTTCGTCTAAGAAATTGGGTCGCATACCGTTGTGTAACGTCCCCACAGATAGGACCACTACGGCTATTGTGTACGAATTTTAATATCGAAAAATCCAGGACTTTTACGCGAATATTGCGACGTTAATGAGACATTTTGTATCCATATAAAAAGAGGCTACAAATCTAAGAAATCAGTAAGCCTACAGACTGATTGACTAGTTCCACGAAAAATATTGCGTGAAAAAAGTCAGCCAAGTACGAGTCGGACTCGTGTACGTAGGATTCTGCACCAACAATAAAAAAAAGGATGAATCAAGCTTGTCGTACCTGAAATATTTATTTTATATGTCAGCCTTTGCTTGTTCTTGTACTCTTGCAATTAAATGTCAAGTATTATAGCAGCCAAAGAAATTGTGCTGTTGAATGAGACAATGAGGCACAGCCTGCTAACAGCTAGTGAGGCAGACAGGACGGTGGAATCTTTGTAATAGGGTGTTGATTGTAAGTACCTACTTTTTGATACGAACCTCTAAAATAACAAAATTTTCTTCGTGATAACTGATAATGATGAAAAATATACAATACCAATTTTCTTAGGAAAGTTTATGTGGTCCTATTATTCGAATAAGGACTCGAAGTTCAAAAGACTTAATTGAACTACCTACTGGGTAGACATAATTTCGAGTGGAGTCACCATTAATATTTTTGATTTTAGAATCAAATTAATCCCTATATAACTAACAGGTTACAGAATCACCTCAGAGAAGAACTAATCTTGCAGGAACCGACAACCTTAGTACACCGCGGCGCCCCTTTGACGCAGATTTGTACCTTGGGCGATATGAGGTGGGTAACGTATTTTATTATTCGCGACTGCCGCTTCCAGGTCGTGCGTCCACATGTATTTGTATGCTCACGAACGTTAAAACATTAACAGCCATGATGTCACAGGAATAAATAGGCATTCTAACATTTTTGTAGCGATTTATATGTATCATTTATCTATTCAATGTTGTATTACAGTAGATAGCAACATTGCTAAGTAATAATTTGCCACAGATGCAAAACAATCGCTTCATATAAGTAATGAGACTGAAATATCACCCGAACAACTTACGAATATTGCTGATACGCTAATATTTCAAAATGGCATGTGTTATTGTGACAGTATTGATACTACAGAGGGTATTTGAATTTATAGTTTATTTTAATTTATTTGCTATCCGAAATGAGATAGATAAAACACGACATGAATGAGTGGAAACAAATCTTTGACAAGTCGCATTCAAAGTAAGTGCCACAGTATGTCTGAATAGGGCACATGCCAGTAGGAAACTATTATCTCTTCAACAGATACATGGCTTCGAGATACACGTAACTTTGCACAGAATAGTGAATGGAAGTTTGCTGTGGAAAATCGGGCTACGGTCCGAGTCGTCCACTGTCAGGCAGAAGTTTAACTCGGGCGAGTGCTGCCGACGGCAACACATACCTTATACATATACGACACCTACAAACTTCGTGTTACTGCTCCTCTTTGTCTTTTTCTCTTTAATGCAGTTTTCGTAACTTTTCGACGACCATTCACCTTTTCCACCGATGTTTTTAAAAAGTTTGGCTAATGATGTCAATACTTGTTTCCAAAAATGTATATGATGAGCTTCCCTACTTCAATGTTGGTTGGAAGTAGTACATAAAAAGACATTCTTTTTTCAGAAAATAACAGTTTAAATATATAAAGCTAATTGGAAAGATGGGAATTGAGGAAAAATGTTTTGTTGAGCTATAAACATTGGTTCATGAAATAATGTCATAGTATCACGATCTGTAGCAAGTTACAATGTCCTACAATGTGACCGAGTTATTCACATTTCCTAGCGGTTGTAATGCTGTTTCAAATCTAACTTTGGAGATGGTTGAGCCTAGTTGCTATACGCAACTCGAATGGGGGCGCTCGGCCAGGAACGTACCACCCTCTCCCATTCTCAGAATACATCAGCTTTCAGAGAGAATAGTACCGTAAACCCATACATGAAAATACGAAATACATTTCGAATAGAAACAAAGAACATGGCCATGTTACGTTATCTGATGTAACGAAATGTTTTAGTTCGGTATAAGTAATTATTATTTAATTTAAATAAATATTACATTACCGACAATAAAAGTCGCGCAAAAATCGGCATGTTATAAAGTGTCAAGTAATAAGATATTTCAGATATAGGTACGGTTCCTAAAAATGGCATATTCTCTAATAAATATAACTATTTTCAATTTGTACGAATCTAAATCGTTAAAGCACCGTCGATGTTTAAATGGAAATATTCTTTTCCGTACTGCGCAAGTTGACTTTTCATTACAGTGCGCTGGCTCAGTTTGCAGTTGATGTTTTAAAGTTAAAACAAAACTGCAATGTCTAATATAGGTGCTAAAGTCTACCGGATAGAGAGCACACTCTTACACAATGTTGGATCCTGGAACTCGATGCTTTGTTATATTTCATAAAACATATGTCGGAATACTGAAACGCTACTCAATTTTAAGTCGTGCTTAAGTATAGTTCTATCTCTACAAATTCTTTGTAGAATGACAGAGATGGCACGATGTTTGAGCACGACTTAAAATTGAGTAACGTTTCAGTATTCCGGCAATAGTTTGTTTGTTAGATGATATTCATTTCCAGAATGTAGGCAAGCTTCTTGCTTTACGGATACAGCGTATGGTGTGGCATTAATAAAGGTCTATCGTTGGATTGTGGAAGATTTATTCCTCTTCTGGACTCTTTACTTCAAACCTCGAAAGTCTCAATAGTTACGAAAAAAGAAACAAAATATTTACTGGCAGTTTTTCTTTTTCAAACAACACAGGTCAATCATAATTCGGCCAATAGCAACGAAATTCCGCCAATGACCGTTCTTGTGTTGAGATAGCATTAATGATGCGTAAAGTCGTGTTCGTTCAATCATCTTCGCTGTCAAAAATGTAAAAGACCACTAGGACTGAATATAACACCCAGCCTTGTTTTTACCCTTTGGGTATGGTATCCTAAAAAGCAGTTACTGAATGGACCAAAATGTTAATAATACAGAATAAAGGAGATAATATTTTTCATTATCTTAACTATTATATTAACACCAAAAGAAAAACACTGATTCCACATATTAAGAAATAAAAAATCTTCATAAACAGCAAATATGTTTCAATGGCAGGTACATTAAAGGGAAACTAGTATTCGAAGCAATTTTTAAGTCAAGGATGTTGTTTATTTACACTAATACTATAAAGCTGAAATGTTAAAAAGGAAACGTATTTATTAACGATGTAATTTTATAAAGATCTAACCTTGTCTGTTATGTTATTGCATCTAGAAGTATAATTTAGGAGATAGGTAACGTAAAATCAAATCAAATCGTCGCGCTTTTTATTCAGTTTCACAAACGTTACCGAAAAGGGTAGGTGACGATCTAAGTGCAGGAAGATATAGAAAAGTTCTAAGACACTACTTTTTATCCTGTATTGCCATGGAGGTGGATATAAGGGACTGATTTAAATGCTAAATTCTCCACGAGCGAAACCATAGGCCGAAAAGTAGGAATATGTTATCGTAAAAATCTTAACTTATTAATCTCCAATTATGAAAAATCCACAACATTCGTTCATACAAAAGTAGTTTTTAAACATCGGAAATAATGTCTACAATGGAGTAAGTGCAGAGCGGTGACCGCTTGAGTACTGGGCATTTAAATATCTGGACTCCAAGACGACACCTTTCGCATATTGCTACTACAAGGAGACTCACCGTAGATCCTGCAACAGTGCCTCCCCCTGTGCGATGGTGGCGGCGCAAGCGTCGAGGCTGGCGCCGCGATGTTGCGCGCATTGGTCTAGCGCACGCCGCGCAGCCTCCGGCGTATCGTCGGACGCGCACACGCCACCACCACTCCGCAACGTTTCCAGCCATTGCAGCAGCTAACAGATATAAATATTGCGATTAAGTTTACGGTTGTGTCCGTTACTTTTTCATTATATAACTGACGGACTAATTACAAAGTTTAATTTTCATACTCTGTCTACTATTCTATTATGTAGGTAGATGAATATTTGCGAGCGAGAAGCTCAAGACCGATTGAGATGGAGAACCTCTGTGGACGCTCTGTCCCATCTAGAGGACATAGGACTACATATAAGAAGTCATGAATATTTTAACGTGTTTGGTACTCTATTCATTTCATGGAATTTTACGTTTTATTAACCCGCCGTCGTTCTAATTTATTTCTATTTAATTCATCCAAAAAGGATAGCTAGATTTATGATAAAAGGGAAACCTTGTTTTAAATAGAGATTCTTGGCAGCTGTTAGCATGCAAACTGTGGTGAAAGTCTAAGCTTAAGGCCAAATTGTCAGGTGGCAAGGTTTAGAGCTTAGAACCTGGCATATATCCAGGTAAAACCTATGTTAGTTTACTATACAATTATTACGTAAAATTAAACGTAACTATTTACAACGCATTTTATAAGTTAATTCTACTGTGACTATTCCACAAAACTGATACTAGGCTTATGAGCCACTTTAACCATCTTCCGTGAAGTGCACACTGAGTTTTCTTAACACAAAATGCATTTCTAAGCCTGTGTACACACTGAGGGATTGTCTAGTACTCTAGTCCATCAATAGATTCAACAACTACTAGAGGCATCGTAAGATCGTGACCACGTCAAAGATTGCGGGATTGACTAGTGTTTAAGTTCAGCAAATGTAAGTCTAGCTTTCTATTAGCTGTTGCTGTTGAAGCATGGTGAACCGTGCTTAGGTGTTTTAATGGGACCTCAGAAGTTTCGATCATATTTTTATTTCTACATCTTAACCTAATACCGGGGTTTATCAAAGTTAAAAAATTAACACAAAGTACCTCTATAAAGTACATTATATAGTTTTTCAGTAAAGGTGCATCATAAGACTCATGGGTTCAAGGAATGGAATGTTTGTTAGCTGTTTGAGTGATGAAATATCTTAATCGCATATGTTTGTCCAATGGGGGTAGGAAGAAACGTTTAAAATGACATGTAGTGCTATCACGCGTCTTTTTCATAAAACAATCCCTATTTTTATTAACTCAATTTCATTAATATCGCGTATTTAGAGTTCAAATTTTTTACTTTTTACGAGGTCTTCTATACGGTCGACAGAGAGGACCTTAAAGTTAACATTATCAAAACGGGATTATTCTTCGGGACGAGTCTAACGACAAGACAGTTAGTTTCGGTGTTTCTTTTTAGAATACTTAAATAGGAAATATCTACCTTACGTAATTTAATTTAAAAATGTTTACTAGACATAGTCGATTGGGGATTTAGGATGAGAAGGGTCTATCGAAGCACTCTCCAACACGGAAAAACACACCATAAAGTTCTTATATGCCGGTTTTTATGAGAGCAATACGCTCTGACCGGACCGAAGCATGGCTCTCCCTTGTCAGCGATTATTGGTTGATTTTTGTATATTAAAATATAATGTACCTCTTTCTCATGCGTATACAGAAGCACGGCGAGATCCAGTCGCCTCCGTCTCCTGTCGACTCGTGCAGCGAAGGCAGCGACATGAGCCTCCAATTCTCGCGCCACGCCCAGCACCTCCTCGGGATCACACTCGCCGGACCGCGCCAACTCTTCAGCGCCTGCCAGTAACTTTTCCGCGTTCGTGTATGTGTTCTGTTGGGGAAATGAATAATTGCTTATGCTGTTCTATTATTTACTGCAGTATAGAATGAAAGTGGACTTTTTATGCAATTTTAATGGCTATAAAGAATGCATAAAAATGTCATAAAGGTAAAATTATTACTGCATTATAAATGTTGTAATAGAAAACCACTTACTTGAGCCACATTTTCAAAATGTTCATGAGATTTCTGATAAACCCTAGCTTTATGGAGATTCCTTCCTATTCCAGTATTCTTCTGTAAGAACACTTCACCGTGATTTGCCAGCCAATCGAGCACCTGTAACAAAGTTATTTCATCAAGTAACATATAATAACACAATATGATGCGCGTTTTATAACTTAAGGTCTGATAATCTAGTAACTACCGTGCGATTTTACCTGCTACTCGGCACCGTGGTTGTAACCGTTATTGTAGCGTTTTCGGTATTGGTTTTTGGTCTTTAATCATGATAACAACTAATGAAAGCTGACTTGACTTGACCGACGAAGGACCTTCTCTATAAGAGTCTTATAAGCTCCGCGTTTGGCAATTGGTCACGCTACTGCCCAATCATTTTAACCCACTTCAAAAAAGGAGATTCTCAGATGGACCTGTATGTATATATGTACATAATGTATGTTTCTGCGCGATTATCTAGCGATGGGCTGAACCGATTTTGGAGCGGTTTTCAGAACAGTGTTATACTTAAGAGAAGGTTTTAGCATATTAAATAACCAACTTCAAAAAAGCCGGGGTTGAAGTCGCTTTTTTAAACGTAGTTTATAAAAGAATTATTTAAGTGTGGCCCTTTAGTCCACCCTTACGACACCTGCAACTTTATGCAGGTACTGCATAAAGGTATGCATACTCTTTAGAAGGGGTGGAGACAAATGTACTCTATTCTGCCGTCACCACGTCGGTTTATTGATGCGTTTGAAAAATAAAGACTCGTCTATCAACCCTCCCACTCACCTGCCTACAGTCTTCTTTATACAAAAGCAAGGCGAGTCTCTGATGCAGCTTGAGCCTGGCTTGATGGTACCTCGCCTCAAGTGCCCGGTGGTGTCCCAGTATCTGGTGTATGACGGCCAATACATGGTTCGCGCCAGAGCTGTAGTCCGCGGCCGGATCACCGCCACTGCTACCTGCACTGCTCACTGTACCGTCGTTCTGGAGATACGGAATAAGATTCACATATTAATAACAATATTGGTGACGGTAAAATGACGATAGTAATCTTGAAAACATTCATTGATGTATACAGATTCATCATCATAAGATTGTCATAGAAAATATAAAATGACAGTAGGCAGTCGATAGATTAAATGTAATGTTATTGGGATTCATTAGCGACAGAAAGTAAGTACATAGGGTATGTTTTACCTCGAGAAGATGTAAAAAGGTTCATTTATTTTTAAATTTTATATCATAGTGAAGAGATTTCAGGCCGATGATAGTTCCGACAATTAGACTAAATTAAGACCTTCTTTGAACATAAGGCGTACTCACCATATCAGCAGGATCGGTTTGATGGCACACTTGGACGAGGTGATCCAGCTGGTACAACAACTTCTTACTCGTAGAATGGACCTGAAACAAAAAACAACATATTCATCAGTTATAATATTATGTTTCCATCCTAACCATAAAACCATAACTCCCTAAATAAAACCTTATGAATAAGTAACTAAGGTACTAAATGAAGTCTTGAGCTGCATCCAGGTGAGTTACTCTAAACTTATACAAAAACTAAATCTAAATATGTATATTCTTAAACCACACAATTTTAACGCAATCGTACCTCAGTATAGGCTTGGCACATGTGTTCATAGAGCTGGCGATGTCTTTGCGCGTGTTGTTCTAAAGCTCGAGGATCGTTGCAAGGTGCTCCACCCTGACCCGTAGCCAACTGTAGAGCGACCGCGCACTGCGCTCCCCAACCACCCACCGCCGATACATACGCCTCGGCTTTATGGTGAAAGACCACTGATAGTGATAACACCGCTGAACGCTCTTCCAAACCTGTGGAACAAAAAAAATGTCATAACAAAATCAGGAAAGTTTAAATATTATTGAGGGAATAGGACACTAAATAGACATCGGAACAACAACATAAGTTCAAGCATATCAACATAATGTAAAACTGTGCCTTCTGTATAAATGATTGAAGTGATTGTACAACAACAACTTGAAGAGATTGAATTGAAGAAGATAAAACAAAAGAGGTATACTAGAATCGCATCATTTACCATCCCATTGTTTCGTCTACCACTTTCAGGAATTAAAAGCATTCTATAGCCATGTTATGAAAAAAGTATTAAGACACTAACCAGCTGACAGTTGTTTATAAGCTCGTTCGAGTCGATGCGCTAGCGCAGAGATCTCGGACTCGGCGTAATGTCGCTTGTCCGCGAGACGACGAGCAGCCGTCGTGACTCGGGCGACACTCGGCCTGCCTCCACCTGTACATGCTGCTGCAAACCTGAACAGGAAAAATTATATCATAATCATATGCCACAGGATGCTGAGAGAGAAGATATCACTACTGCTGAAACGCTCCCAGAAACTTATATAACGGCTAGTTGGAAATATCACTAGGAACAGTGCTTTGGATTACTATGCGAACATTATCATGTTTTTGTTTTTAAGCAATTCTGCAAGCAGTCCAATAGTATAAGTGTGGCCTTAAACGATAAGGTCATGCTGCACATTAGTGCAGTTGCCACCAAAATTATTTCAAAAAATGCATCGAGACTCGCTAAGTATTTAAGTAAATGTCATCTGTAAGATCATTGAGTAGAACTACTTCTGCACTTATGAGCAAGAACACATTTGTACAAATAGAGACTTTCGGTCAAAAACGAAGATTACCTGGCGTGTTCCTCCTGCAACCGTTTAGCGGCGGCACACGACCGCCCTATCTCCACGTAAGTCGCCAAGAATGCGGTGCGGTGATTCACGATCCATTCCAACATCTGCGATGTTAATTTTTGTTATTATTATGATCATTCGTTCAGTCATTTGTGAAGAGGACCTATCTAGATTTATGTTAGTGCCTAAAATCAGAATCAATCAGAAAGAATTTGGTCAATGTGAGTAACTGTGAGCTGCATCACTCGACTTGTATAAAGGGCAGGTAAAAGTTCACATTTTGTACTTGCCATTTATTTAATAAAATAAAAGAAACATGGTTAATGATTATCTAATTTAAGCACTCAATGTCTTAATAGACTCTACAGTTACATCATCATCACACACATCTTCAGTTTATTATAGCTATATGCTATGATTATGGTACTGACCTTCTCACAATCCTGCTCAAACAGGCGCAGTTGGAAGCACTGGTCGAGCTGCATCTTCTTGTGCTGCCAGAGCTTGTGCGCGTGCGCGTGTGCCGAGCGCACGGCGGAGAGTTGCGCGCGCACGGCCCCGGGCGAGCCGCAGTGGAACGCGGCCTCGCCACCGCTACCGCTCGCCTCAGAGCACACTGCTTCCGCTGCCTCCAAACGCTGCAGGACTCGCTCGCCTAAACAAATGTAAAGTTTCAATGCTAAGGTCAACATTACTTACATAATAAAAACAATATCGTAATACTGGCAGTACATAAAACAGTCCCTTCATAGAGGCGACTCGATAAGCGCTATGGCTAAGGGTTTAACTGCTGTGCTGCATAATAATATACGATCTCACACCTTTCTCGTAAGGCTAGACACTAGAAACTACCATCAAGTATGATGCTTACAAACAGCGAGCGTCAATATTCATTACATTCATCATAGAAGCACTGACGTATTCTGAACACATTTGTCTGATTTACGGAAAGATATGGAGTCTCTTGAATCATAACTCATAACTAAGGACGATTAGGTAAAGACGTAATCTAATGAGTTCTCAAACAAGCCGGCATCTCCGCTACCTATTGTAGTTTCTAATAACACCGACAAACGGAAAACCAATAAACTGTTCAATGTACTTCGATTCAAACGATTCTCGTGCCGTCGACGTCGTGACATCATGTTTCACTTAATATTTACTTGGGACAAACATTTCTTGTTCACTCTATATCAGATCAAACAGAAATAACTAGGTGTCACTATTTTCTATCGACTTTCTGTCAAATGTGTTTGTCGCGTCAATAATCGAAATTGTTGTGTATAGAAAATTGCGGTTGCCAATGTTATCATATATTTATGTTGATGGAGGGAATGCAAAAAGCAGTGAAACTCTGAAACAACGTTGAAAGTAACATGACAATAAACGACCTATTGATAATACAGAGATGTAAGTGTATTCGTATCTTGTACAAGTGACCTAATCGCTACAATAGTTACCTATATTCAACCCTAACGAACCATTACGTATTTTAGTGTACATTTATGGCCCGTTACCAAGCGAAATATTGTGTTTAAACTTGGATTAATGAAGCGGCAAGACATTACAGAGGATTTTGTAATACTATGCTTGAAGTAAATACATGTAGTAGGTACATAATAATAATATTACCATGCATTCGATTTTGTATTCGGACTTTTTGATAATAAATCACAGATTAATTGTCCATGCAACATTAACAGTGATGTCTGTACAGCATATGTTAGAAATTAGTGAGACTCATTATTTATGCAAATGAGAATGTTTTATTGTTACTTTCAACACGACATTTTGAGCAACGATCCGTCGCAGTACGATATTGTGCTCAAAGAATGCTGTGAATCTGTAATCTTTCGTAGCGGTCTAGATCGACAAACTGAATAATGTATCGTGATAATAGACGGTGCACCAATCACCATTATACTGAATCTAGAAACTAGAAAGTGCAGTGTAATATAACACGTTATATGAATCAAAAACTAGACGCAACATAAACGCTCCGCCTAGAACAAAATTTCATACCGGTCTGTTCAGTGCACCACAAACAATCGAAACACATCACTGGCACGTCAAGTACATAACACGACACCCTTCAGCGTTATGCTACAGCGAGTGGCGCGTGCGCATACAATCCACACTGAAACCTGCGGTTATACAACAACGGCCTGACCACCTCGCCTGCCTGCCCTCCGTTCAACCGTGACACTAAACGTTATATGAATCAAAAATAAATAGACATCCAATTCCGCAATTTACGTTTTCTAATGCACTTCATTATATGTGCATGCTTTAAACGTATATGGATACGTACACTTAATTATACGGGTGATGATTATTGACGCATTAATCATTAACTATTTTACTGTCGATTGCAATTGTCTTTTTAAATTACATTCTAGTATTAAAGTAGTATTGGTAAGTAATAGGACATGTATAGCATGTCTTGAAGATCCAGAACAAATGTACAGCAATTTGTGTTATAAAAATGTTATAAAATCGTGTTAGGTATAAAAACTTTTACCGATGTAAAACTTTAAAGTAAGGAAGTACCTTGACCCTCCAATTCGTCGACGGGGACCTTGGCGAGACGCTTGCTGATATCAGCGTGCGCGTCGATAGCTCTCCTTGCGCCCGTGACATCATCGGCGAAATCTGCTCTCGCAACATCCTCCTGCAGGTCATCGAGCCTGTCCAGCAGCTCACCAGCTTGCCACATCAGCTCCTCCAAGGCCTATAAATATATCCCATGTATTTTAAACTGATATTAACAATAGAGAATTTAAGAGTTTACAATAACAAAGTAAAGGTTCGGAAACGGAGGAAACTTATTAGGTGTGACTTCTTCACTGACTGAAAAGGGGTACCAAACTAACAATAGGCAGACGGTGCATTATACGCGTCCCGCTTGCTCTGCTGCGAGGAGTGGTGGCGAGTGCAATGGATGCCAGCAACAATTCGCTAGTCTCCATACCTTTCTACGAAGATTACATGTTTACAGTTTGTATCATTACACAGGTAGCATTCGTTTTACAGCGCCGCTAATGTCTGTACAGAAGATACTGTTTCAAGTCCCACTTATTTTTCCAGGTTGTGTTCTTCACTTAGAGGAAACATAATTACGATTTGTGTATTTATACACGCGCACCAATACAGTTTCACTAACGCGATGGCGATGACGTCATCAACGTCTGAGTGTGCGGCGTGTATGGCGCATGCGGAAAGGTGTGGGCAATATGGGAAGTACGATAACATTACTCACTATATTCAACAACGAATTCCTGTAATTGAAAAATTTAGACTACGATGTATGACTATACTCACCAATCTGAGATCTATCCATTGCGCGTGATCATATTGCAGAGTACCGTCTAAATCTGGCGTTAGTTGCGAACTATCTATTACTTTAGGCAGTGCTTCTAAGCTAATCATTGTTGTCTGGAAACAAATTATCATTTTAATCAAATATCCATACATACAAGAATGTATAAGAAATCTTTAAAAAGACTAAGACTTACCTCAAACTTGTACTTATGTGCTCCTATGGTTGTGCGTTGCTTTTGCCAAAAATTGTCAGGTTTAACTACCAGTGCCTGATGGACGGATGAAGGGAAGTGTTCTTGCAGAACTTTTAAGATAGGTTTTATTGCTGCCCATGCTGAACCTCTCATATCAATCAATATCGTGAATCCATGTGATCTCACCGAGTCACTAAAACAATAAAAATACATGATTTGATTGGATAATAAAAGCTTAAAGATTTTTCACCTACATCTTTTCTTTGAATGAATGGGACATGTTGAAGATCAACAATGCAATTCACCTGTTCAGAGAATGGTATACAGAACAAAGTAAATCACAAATTCAATGGAAAATTTAGTAACCACAGCAAGCTACATACTGTACACAATTACTATGAAGTTGAGTACCTAGTGTATGAGAGAGCCTATTGTTCATGCATCATGTTGATGGCTGAAAAATTACCCTCAATGTGCCATTCAACGGGACATATTGGTGTCAAATGCACCATTGATACTTGTAGCAGAATAAACATGCATAAAATCTTTTTTATGATTAACATAATCTCTATAAAATAAGAACATTGCAACCACCCCAGCACAGGCTAATCAGGTGTAATAAAATAAAAATTATAAATAGACACAAGTTTACATAACCTTTTGCCCTTGTAGTGGGCAGTACGGGTGGATGGAACACCTACGTAGCACCGCTAACATTATTAGACCCAATTATAAATAGATACAACTATAATTATAACAAAACAAATATTAAAGTAAAACGTACTTACCTAGGTATACTGATTAAATAGTGCAGCAAACGCCTATAGTCATCTGGCGCGACTCTGTCTCGCCGGGAGTTCGCTGGGAACCATATGATAGGCCCACCGCGGCGGTCGCGACCTCCTGTCAGGGCCGCCACCCGCTCCTGGAGTAGCGGGAGCACGTCCAGAGCGCGCGCCCCAGCCTCCATCGCTACCCCTGTTCAATGACCACTCTGAAGATGCCTGGTGAAAAGCAAACAATACAATAATTATAATAGATCAACAGATTTTGACAAATACTGACACAAATATAATTAGAGCCATTAAAATCAAAATCCTTATTCTGAAGTATATTTCTTCACAAGTTATTTAATATCTTTAAACATGCAATTTGCTTGGCACAAAGAGAAGCATTATCCTTGCATAAACTTCACAAGTGTGCAATGAAACTTGGCTATCATGATGATAATTTTAATGGCATTGACATTTACAAGGCAAATTATTACTACACATCAACATAATACTGAAATGGTCATCTAATGTACATCAATAGTTGATTATAAATTCTGCACTTATACTCACATACTGAGTACTAGGTCTTCAATGTTACCATAGCCATGTTAGTGTTTGTTTTTTTTTAAACAAAACATGTGCCAGCTACAATTGGCTTGGAGTACATATGGAAAGCACATGAGTAATAACTACCTTACAATTAATAGTAATAAAGATAGTTAATATTTAACTACTATTCGGGTACTCTTTGTTATTAGCAAATAGAATGGTGAGATTAAAGTTGATTTCTTAAAATATTGTTTAAAGAAATATTTACAATACAGGGTACATAAGTAATAACTGAATTTCCAATCATTGTAGCAACACCTTGTTTGCAAACTTGATGAATTAATTAAACATTAGTTGGTTATTTGTACTTGAACACTGCAGTGTTGTGCAAGAAACATAATTTATGATATAATTATTATAGTAATGAGGATGCACATCCATTCCACTGACCTCACTATCAGGAAGAAACTACAGATTCCTTCCAATTATAATATTTATAAAAGTCTAATTGGCTGGCCAAATATGCTTATCAAATTAATAATTAAGTAAATTTAAATAGCTGACCTACAATGACTTACGGTCTTACATAGTGATAAGTGAAACAAAATTGTAACTTGCAGTGTTAAAGTTACCTTGAGAACAGAGTATAATTTTAACAATAAATTAGCAACACCACTGTTTTAGTACTCCATTCCACTCACAAATAAAATTCTTACAGGATTCTCACTAAGGGACAAATTCTCTAATTAAATTGTAAACAATAAACAAGAATTCCTTGTTTACTAAAACAATTAGACTCTTTTCCTGTAAGACCTTACAGCTAATGAAGCAGAATTCTACTAATGGAACGGAGAAGTTTTATTTATTTTAAAAAATAAATCATGGTATTTATATACATACAAAAAGAAATCTTAATAAAAAGCAAACATTAATTACTGGCATGCAATAAACTAGTGCAACAGCAATACAACATGAGTTTAATAACATCACTAAACACAGTACCTATTAAAATTAATTATCCAATCAAACTATGTTTACTAGCAATGTTTCTTTCAACAAGTAATTGATGACACCAAGATGTATCATATTACTTTGAAGGTTTCTCATACTTGCATCAACTGTAATAAAGATGCATCTCTTTTTGCACAATTAATTTAGTTATAATCACAACTTATTAAACTGTAACTAACTATCAACAAATTCTAGCCCTCATAACAAGTAATTCAAATTCGCAAATGAAAAAAAACTTACGTTCTTTGTAAAGCTTACGTGCAACGCCAAGGGTCGCGTTGCTTGTATTGTGTAAATTTATAGGAGAACATGATAAAATTATCGTAAATTACTTCTCGAATGATTCGGATTTAAGTTAATGTTGTATTACCACTGCTTTGTTGCATTTATTCTATAGTTTTAATAAACTATGATGACAAATTGTTGCAGATATTATATAGCTAGCTATGTCACAACAAATAACCTCAGCCATCAATTTGAACTAACCGTGGTGACTCAAAGTTGCTCATTAGTCAGGTATAAAAGGTTCGGCACGCATTATTGTCACTGTTGTTTTGTTGATTATAACATTCGTAAAAAATATATTCATTACTGTCCTAAATCTTATTAAAAACACACAAGCTGTACGAAAATGACAAACTGAGGGACACCAACCACCACAATGGCGCGCCAGGGCTGTTCAAACTTCAAAAAACCGGTAATTCTTAACGGATTTACACTGGAACAATTAAAATCGAATAAAATATAATAAAAAGATTATACAAAACACATATCTTGAATTTCATATTATCAAGGCGAATCATTCAGATATTTTATTGGATAGTCTACGTATTTACACTATTTTGCAACACAACGTACCTTTTTTTTCTGGAAATTACAAGAAATCACTTTGCCATTCGATTGTAGTGCTGCAACATGACAAAGGAAAATACAAATCGATTGTATTTTCATCAATTTCAAAAACCCTAAGACTTATTCCAAATAGATGACAATTTCACAGTTAATCTGGTTGACAGATAATTTGACGTGAGACGGACACTACCCTAAATTATCTTTCAACTCTACAAATCTGAGGTTATAAATGTCTCCATATCAAAACCAGCGGGGTTAAATATCTTGGATTGGTCTGATTCAGTGGCATAGCTAGCGCCATATCTGCCGTATCAATTATATGGGGCCCCCAGGCTCAAGGGCCCCCAACGTGTGTAAGCAAAAATATAAAAACTTCTCAATATATATTTTATTTCAGTAATCACAAAATGCATGCGTTCAAAGGTAGGCAGAGATCATGAAATAGAGAAATCTAATCCATGACAGAAACTTTGAAAAACTAAAGTAGGTACCTAATCATTGTCCGATACCTAATTTAGGCAGAGGAGGTATGTACCTATGTATGGTATGTAAAAAAATATTCTGAGAAATTTTTACCTTTCATAACCCCCAAACAAATTTTTATACGGGCCCCGCCAAGATGCGCTACGCCACTGGTCCGAGTCTTCAACAGTCAATGAGATTTCGACTCCCAACTTCAGCAAACTCAACTCAAGTTTTGTGAATGTTTCCCAAGTTGCGAAGCTCCATTAATGCTGCCAGTGATTGTATAATATATTATATAACACGAATCGGGATGAATAACCAGACAATAAGCAATGTCGCTAGGGTATGAGGCAATGGAAGGTTTGTAGAGTCTGATGGCCGCAACTCTGGTCTTTTCAAAGCAAGACTAAGCTTAGGGTTGTCTAAACTTTCTGGTTGACATTAGTGTTCTCCAAACTCGGCTACTTTGGCAAGTATTAATTATGTCGTATGGTCCAGAAGTTCCGGGACCGTCTGGTCCAAAGGTCCGTTTAATGTATTATGACCACTTCTTCTTCTTCTTTATACGTGGAAAAAGTGATCTTCCGCTACCTTCCACTGTCGAACAAACCACAGGAAGCAGTCGTTTTCTTCTACAACCATGTCACGTTGGTGTAAAGGGAGATGGAAATATCTCTCTTGTCTCCCAACTAAGATGATTTGGTCGTTTTCAATGTGAGGTGAAAGTCCATCTGCAACCTCATCTAAACTACGGGTGACTAATTAAGGATTCACGGGGAAGGAGAAAAGGGAAAGCCCTTCGTTCGATGGATGGGTGGGTGAGAGTTTGCCGAATGGAAGTTACAGTAGTATTTTGTGCGCGTCATTCGAGATATGGAAGACGCCGCTTAATGTCTGTTGCTTGAATTGCATATTAAATTATCGCTGTAATGTCTGAAATGATTGACGAGGCATTTTTACTGCTTTAATCGATAAAAAAACATATGAACTATTTTACAGTCAATTACACTAGAGACATCACGGGTACGTTACCGAGTATGTAGATAATTTGAAATGCGCCATCATTATTTCGGTGAGTCCTCTTTTTCTGTAGTGGACCGGGTATTTACGTGTATTGCTTCCCAGGCCAATATATCAATTCACTGTAAGAGCTACAACAATTTCCGGTCACTACAAATAATAAAAATTACCGTTTTTGATGGCATTTTATTTATGAAGTTATTAACAGTCAGATATTAATAAGTACCTAATTATTTCACTAGATACAGCATTGGTGATAATAAACTAATGAAACTATAAAGTAATGAACGACACTAAATAACTAGAATTCCGATTACAGTTACAAGTATTAAACTATTTTATTGATATCTACGTACAAAAACCGTTAATAGTGAAAGAAATCTTAGTTTAGAGAAGTAACACAATCATCATTGGTTCTTGTTTACCGTTAACACTGAAAACCGGAACTGGTATCGCTTGATCACTTCACTAGTCGGAGTGTTTATTGATTTTTTGACATTACATACTGCAAACTTGGTTTAAATTTGGACGGTATTTGTAATAAATTATATCCAACAGATTATGTCTGAAACAATCACAATGCGGTTACAAGTGCGTCAGGTATATCAATAAAAATGTTATAAAAAATTTAAACATTAAAATATAATTCAGTTGCATTACATATTCAAGTACTTATTTGTAATATTCACAGTGAAAACCTATTAGCGAAAAAAATAATTTGAATTTGCCTTATTTCTGCTCAGACTATTGTGTTTTATAAGATTTAAAGACAGCTTTGGCGAAGTGAACTGTTGACCTAATTTTTGCGCGGACTTCGTGGGAAAAAATAAGACTGAAACAAAATGAAGATTATTGATTTATTCTTGACCATAGTAAATGTCCTGAGTATACTCACTGCCCATTAAGTTTCAAAAGTGTCTGTAAATATGTACCAAACCTTTAAAATGCTAAGAATGATATGAAAAGACTCATTCATCAAAATAAATCATGCATTGTTTGAGTCCTTTTCCTACCCACATTAATTCTTTAAATTAATGAATTTTGTTTATTAATAAATTAGTTTATTCTAGAAAGCTTGCTAAAATCATGTTACATGCTCTGCAACTGAATAGCAAAAATTTGTATTTGTAATGCGACTGTAATTTTGCGATATGTAAATGAATATTTTAAGTCGGAGCAGTTTTAAAAAAAGATATACTCCATGGTGACGTTGCAGAAGTAATCAGTTACCACCATGGCTCAAAGGATGCAGGTGCCGGAGTTGAGATGTATGGAACCGGAGAACTATAAGAAATACTTCCGTGCCCTATGTTGGAGTGGTACCAAGTGAGTACTGTATAATACTATTTGATATCAGATTAATCCTTACTATAATATTATAAAGAGGAAAGTGAGTTTGTTTGTTCCGCTTTTAAGCCGTAACTACTAATTGCTTTGAATTTTTGCAGACGTAAAGTTAGAAGTCTGGATTAAATAGGGTATTTTTTATCTGGGAAAATTTTGATATTCTCGAGGGAAAACGAAATTATTGGTATACATGGCGCTCTGTGTATTGGTATATGTCACATAGGCTATTTTTATCCTTTTGTGACGGGAGCGAAGCCACGGGTATAAGCTAGTTTAGGTATAAAAAATTGTGTCAATATATCTGTTTGGAGGTAGTAGTAGGCAATTCTAGACAATAAGATGTAAAACTGACGTGTAGAATTCTGAAGTTATTTATATTTTCAGTAAACAAGGTAGACTTAAAAACAAGAAATTGGCATATGTTATTCATAATTAGATGGCGCTCTGTGTATTGTTATATATGTCACATAGGCTATTTTTATCCTTTTGTGACGGGAGCGAAGCCACGGGTATAAGCTAGTTTAGGTATAAAAAATTGTGTCAATATATCAGTTTGGAGGTAGTAGTAGGCAATTCTAGACAAAAAGATGTAAAACTGACATGTAGAATTGTGAAGTTATTTATATTTTCAGTAAACAAGGTAGACTTAAAAACAAGAAATTGGCATATGTTATTCATGATTAACTAGTTACTTTCTGTAGTATTTACTTTTTCCAAATATTTTGTTAATAAGAAAACGGTTTGTATCCTATTTATTTACTCAAAAGTATTTCTATTCCATTAATTATTAAACAAGTTATAATAGTAACAATATATTTCTATTACTACTTGTTCTTGTAACTTTGAGCATGGTTAGTCACTTCTAACACATCTAAACATTGAATGAAATTCTTCCATTTGACGTAGGTACAAATTAGTCCAATATTAAACTGGCTTTTCATTATTAAACATACCCTAGAATAGTATGTTTGGTATCAGTGGTTGCAGGCACAGCACATTACTTCTTGTAAACCATTATGTATAAAATACAAAAAATGCTACATTATCCTAGCTCAATTGCAACAAATGATACAAGTTACAGTGAGGTAAATTAATAACTTATAGGAAGGAAAGGCGATCCCACAAAAGAATTGGGAAGAAAGAGAAACTCCGGCGCTTAAAAGCGGCCAATGCCTTGGCTGTTTGTTATGCTCCTGCACTCCTGGGTAATCCATCTCAATTTGCTGTGTATGCCAATGTGCGTAAATCCATCCTCGCTCGTTGGAGACATCTTCATGGCACCGTCAATGAGCTGTCTGATGACAGTGACAATGAGGATGCAACGCCACCACAAACAAATAAAATACCAAAGGTAACTAAAATAACAAAGTATCATAAAATATTTATTTTGTTATGCTTTATTATGGTACCTATTTAATTAAATGCATTTTTTACAGATTACAGGAATAGGGCTTCGGTCAGTTTTCTCCTTGATAGCACAGGCGCGTTTCACGAATGCGCAATTTTGTGAACATGCTCTTATTGCTTTACTGGACGTGCTGCAGGGACATGCACCTGAAGAACTGGCGCAGGAGCCAACTGAAGTAAGTATTTGAAATTTGTTGTAACCTGAGGGCTCACATGTAATACTGCCGAGGTTGAAGGTGGCACTAGTTATGATTTTTCATCCTCACAAAGAAAGAGACCATAGAGACCATATTTTAATCAGTTATGTTGTAAGTCCCACATATCAGGTAAGGGGTGAGCCTATTGGATAAGGGAACAATTAAAAGATTAGCTTTGTAATCCAATTATAAAATGCTTTTATGTACAAATATTCTTTTCTGGTTTAGATCATACTCAACCTTCATTCCATGCTGGTGGAGGTTGCCAGTGGTAGTGGGCCCAATGGCAAAGTGGAATTACCAACAAATCTAACTGCACTCAGTAGCTCCTGCCTCATTGCACTCTCAGTGGCCCGGGGTGAAGCTGAACTCATCCTGAGTGCTGTGGCATCTCTCATCATGTCCCCATCTGTACTCTCTGAACAAGATCTTCAGGTAATTTCCATTAAAGTTTGAAGAATAAGATATATGAAGATATACAATGAAAAATAAAGAAAAGTATTGTGTGTAACAGTTCTAACAGTGATATCATTTATTTGAGTTATTTATATTTTTTATAGATCCCATCAAACTTAATTACTCTCCAACGGAGCGTCCAGTCGGTGATACTTGGTTCTCCGTCCCGCAACCTATGGTTAAACTATGGCGTCCCTCACCAGTGTCTAGTGAATAGCTTCCCAGTAGACCTTCCTGCGCAACTAACTGGGTCGGGCGAGCTCGTGGTCCGGTCCTTAGTTTCCGATGGCTGCTTCCTATTCGTATATACGTCCAAAGGCCTGTTGAAGATAGGTTCAGGGTACGGCAGCTCTATAAGGCAGCACGTTTATATGCACAAGCCAGACTTCTTTGCTAGCGATCGCCATGGCTGGCTAGGTTATTGTAAGGTAGGTTTTACCTCTTTATTAACTAAATTGTGAAGTTCATGGTCGTTTGAACAGTGTTAATGTTGCTATGTTGTGTTTCAGAATAAATTATATCTAAGGATAGGCAGGAAAAAGACTGAAGTTTATGAAATAGATAGAGAGACTTTGGAAGTGAGAAACATGATACGGCTGGATCCTGGTCTACCGGCCCCTGTTGAACCTAAGTCAGCGGTTTTTACGGACGGAAACCAATTAGGACTGATATTATTAACGAATTTTGTAAGTTGACCTTTTGCGTACTACCAATGAAAAGGTTAGCAAATAATAAATATTTTTGTAAGAAATATAACGAAAGCAATTCATCTTCTTATAGGACAACCTTACAATTCGACTGTACGACGCTGACTCCCAGCCGGAACGCGACGAAGGTACAGCGACCACAACTCTGACGTCACAGAAAGAGATCAATGTCCACCTTCTAAGGCGTAGGACGCTAGTACTGGGCCGCAGTCCTTTTGAAGATGGAATGTCCAGACGAGCGACAGAACTGGACACTCCTATAGCAATGCAACTTGATGATAATGATGACGACCCCTTGCTCAGCATTTATGGTGGTCAGGACTTCGCGCTACTTACCACAGCTTCTGGAAAGGTAAGATCCATATTTAATATTTATTTAATGTTTCCTAAATAACTAAACATTTTCTGTTTATAATTTCTAGATAGATAATCGTATTGCATCGTCATCATTCATAAGCGTTCCTCATATTTGTTTTAGGTGTACTACACTGGCAAAGGTGCTAGTCTTGGCTACAAGGCGGCCTCTCCACAAACTGGCCGGTGGACCCTAATGAAAGAAACTATATTTTCTCGGAACGAAGCACCGAACGCCAAGAGATGCAAGGTTATGCAGGTGAGAATGGGCTTGTGAAATGTGTTAAAGAACCTTGCTTACCATAGATACCATTAATACCATTAGTCGTGAAGTACGTCGCGCGACAAAAAATGTATATTGTTTTATAAAATAAAATAAAAACATATTTATTGACATAAACCTTTACAATTCCTTTTTGTGTGTCCCTGGACTATACACTAGTGTAACCACTAGGGGCTTATGAGCGACTTTGCGTGACGCTTTACTTCGAGTAAGCCGTTACACATACCTAATTAAATTAAAACTAATGACGGAAAGCATTAAGCATACTGAAATAATGTATAATAGGGTAGATGATATTTTTTTATTTAACTCGTCGAGTACCGGTTTTGTAGACACAATTATAGAACAATAGGTTGCGGTCACCGGTGACCGCTTGGTGGTTGACAGTTTAAATGTCCGTCTGGTAGATTATTTTAAAACTCTAGCTTCTGCCCGCGACTTCGTACGCGCAATCCCGTTTTCTCCCGTTCCCGTAGGATTTTCAGGAATTTTTCTGTCTTAGAACCTTCTCCTGACAACAACAAACACAAAAAAAAAGATCAGCCAAATCGGTCCAGCCGTTCTCTTAAGAGAACTTGGGTTTCATGCCATAGAGAGAATGCCATAACTTGGGTTTACATTTTATAAGATTACACACGTATTTTTGGTTTTCTTACGGAAACAAATACTTTCGACGATATATTGATTAGAAATATCGCGTGACGTCACTTCTAGGTACGTTTTATACTTAGAAATAACGATGTGAGCGAGTGGGAACTCGTAAACTTTGATTCATTTCATCAAAGTATTGTTTTCTTATAAAATTACTTCGTCTGCTGCTATCTTGATCAATGTGTTCTCTTTTTGCATAACAGGTGGCTGTTGGTCATGAGGGAGTCCATGCAATCCTAGTGCTGGACAATGGTTCAGCTCTGTTCACTGGTATCGCGCGGCGTGGCGAGGATGGCGACGCAATGAAACATCGACGACAACCCAAACCTACACGTCCTAAAAAGATTTTCAAGGTACCTATTACAAACTTTTTATCGGTCAATTGATACTTATGCTTCAGAATTCCCTCTTTAAAATAATACTTCAACTGTCGAGAGCCAGATACATCTTTTAGCTTATTGATTTGAAAATTAGTCAATTTCCTCCAGTACACTACAGTTTTTTGCAACTTCTCTCCTATTGAAACTGAGGTATAAGATCAACAACAACAACAAAATAACATCATGCCTTTTATCCCCGAAGGGATAGGCAGAGGTGCATTACGGCTCTTAATGCCGCTGTACAATGTAAACACCCACTTTTCACTATTTATGTTATGAGTCCCATTTAATAGGGGGTGACCCAATTGCCATATACCGAGCACAATACCAGACTCCATGCTATCACTTGAGATTTTAAAAAAAACCTAGTAATACTTTGCCCGACCTGGGAACCGAACCCGAGACCTCTTGCCCGGCAGTCGCACTTGCGACCACTTGGTCAACAAGGCAGATATAAGATCATTTTAGAAACAATAATAATGTAATACTCCAATTTATAGGCGGAAGGACACTTTGTAGTGTATGCTGCATGCAACTACGGCTCGACTGCATTAGTGACAAGGCAGGGACATTTGCTCATGTTTGGCAAAGACACGCAACACTGCGATTCTGCTGGACAAGTTCTCGGGCTACGACATGAGAGGATTGTGCAAGTGAGTACATTAAAAATGTCCACGGACATGTCTTCTACATATAATTTATCCAATGTATTTATCAACATGGATTGAGAATTGGACGAAAAAGGCACTAATTATTATTTGTAATTGATTTTCACGGACTAGTTGTTTAGTAGTTCTGGTAGACTGAGCTGGTTGTTTAACCTACTATCGGTCAGAATGAGCAGGAAATTGAAAACCTAGACAAGACATTCACCTGACAATTGCTGCTTAGAATAGTTTAATCATCGTCATCAGACTTGTAAAACCTTACTTTTGTTAGAGTAATAATACTAAAATGTTACTTCAGGTTGCCCTTGGTAAAGCTCACGCTGTAGCTCTAACAAACTTCGGCCAAGTCTACACCTTCGGAATCAACAATAAAGGACAGTGTGGACGTGAGTTCGGATATACTAAGGAGAGTAAGTATTCGTACAACTACTTAAGTTTTTATGTTAATTTAAGAAAGAGTTTGTTTACTATAATATCTATTCTTTTATTAAATAATAGATTATAGCTCGAAACTAGTCGAAGTAACTCGACTACTTTCGAGTCACGCTAAGGGTCAGCAACATTTGTTAATAAGGAACAGTTAGCGTGACGTTTTATAATTAAACATCCGAATTTTACTCCATTCAGAAATGTTCCCAACATCTCGCCGTCGTGCCGAGACTAAGGAAGAGTCCCGATTATGTGCCACATCACATACGTGGACGACAGACTACTGCCGCGTGTGTGTTCTATGCAGGGACTGCACGGGATTCTCCAGCGCGTGTCACTGCTCGCATCTACCGAATAGAGTACCTGGAGAGTGAGTATTGATTTAAGATTGATGTAATACCTATCTAAGTGAGTCTAGAAATCAATTCTTAACATCTATAGTTCCGATACGCAGCCGCGGAGAACGTAACCGGTTACCGGGGCTCCGGCTCGAAGTGAAGGGAACGGGGTGGTTTTTAGTCAGTAAGAGTCTGGCACTCCCTCCCGCCTCACCGAGGCGGAAGAAAAAATTCGATGATCTTTCCCCTTAAAAATGTCCACATTTGTTTAATATAGATTCAGTAGCTCTATGTAACGTCTTGCGGTTGTTTTATAAATTCTAAGTAGGCCTGAAATTTGCTTTATAAAGGTAAAGGAGCAAAATGATGGACTTATAATTAGGACACCATCTATTTTAAACAAATAATGTTTTACATTGTAACTGCCTTTAATCACATTTCAAACACGAAGAAAAAGAATTAAAAAGTTCAGTTATTTTTCTCCCTTTTGGCATTTGATTCCATTATCTTTAAACATGTATTCCTATTCATTAAATAGAAAATGCGGTTGCGGCGAAGGCGATAGTGGTTGTGCAGTTTGCGGAGTTTGTCGGAGATGCGCAGACGCATTTGTAATGGCTGGTCGACCTGAACGATCATCAACAGTCACCGTCACGGACTTGGATGATGATGCCGAACCATCCATCAGACCAGACTCTAGAAGCGGTAAGTTATTGAACTAACGTATTACAACGGTATTCTATCAATAATGTATCTTTGGCCGATTTTCATTGCGCTGAAATCGGTACGCCTTGCATTTTGTACAGAACGCTGTAAGTTCTGTTTAGTTGATATTGCGTTTTGTATAATAAGTATTGAAAATGTAATCAGTTCCATTATTGCATTGCATTTAGTTTATCGCCAATTAGTGCATCTGTAGAGCACCTAGTAAGCATTTTCGATACATGAAATAGAAATAGAATTCATACTTTACGTGTGATCAAAATAAGAGAAACGTATCAATTTACATAGCACCATGGCAATATTTGTTAATTGTTTCTTTCTTTCGGACGCAATTAATTAATCCCAATTGATTGATTAATGCGACAATCGCTGAGTCAACGAGTCCCTCTTCTTTTAACGTAGAAAGATTACATATTGATGCTTTACAAACGATAATGCTTCGATGCAGTCTTAATCTTCTTCTAGCATAAATATAATAATATATATCATATCATAGATCCATATGATGTTGCATCTGCTAAGATTTTATTGTCTTACGAAGATGCAAGTACATGGTTAACGCGTTGAAGCTTTACTATTTACTACCGCAGCTTTCTTGCTTAATCCATTTAATTATTTCGAGTAAAGACATCAGTCATAAAGGTAAAGTTGATAACAATAATTTCATAAACAGGGGCAGGATCGGAAACTTTTTAATATAGTCTTTATCTACCAAATTAACATTCTCTTTTTATTTATTTTCATGATTAATTTATATATTTTTAAATATTTGATTATAAAAAAAAAATATAAAAACCAGTAACGGGAGAAATCCAAGGTACCGGTGGTCAGGGCTCCAAAGAGAGGAATTTCCGGATAATATAAATGTTTAATGTTAATTTTTATTATTAGTCACAGTTCACCAACACCTAATCGCATTGATTTCGACCACACCTCGTGGAACATGTAACCTATCATCACATAGAACTCAAGATAAATGCACAATCATCATCTCATATTCAGCCTTAAAACAAGTGATAGTGCAAACTTTCAAAGTGATGGAAGTCGACCAAAAATACTTGGTACACCGTTGTCCTTACACAGGCACGTTCCTATAGTCAGATCCCTAAAGCATGTTCCGTCACTATCACAGATGTTGACGACGATGGCGACGTCTCCGCTAGAATCGACACACGGAGCGGTGAGCAATCTAGATGTTTGTTTAACACAATATAACACTTTCTAAAATCTTTTTCAAACCCTAGGCTTTAGGTATTCTGTGCTAAAGGGTTCTTGCAATTTCAGAACGATTTAAAATAATAAGTACCTAGAAGTTTTGCTTCACATGAAATCGATTTCAATACCCACCCGAGTGATTTCAATACCCACCCAAGTGATTTCAATACCCATCCAAGTGTCAGATGTCCTTATAAAATAGTATAGACAATGGGTACTGGATTAGCGATAAAGTTTACTAAAGACGAATTGAATATTGAAGATTAGTGAATTAATATCAGGCACATGAAGCTTTAGCAGATTAATTGAGGAGATTATTCTGGAACAACCTTCTAGTACTGGTAGTTCTGAGTTTTTCTACAGAAAAAAGACATAAGTTTATGTTCAATATACTTGAGTGTCCTACCGAAATATTTAGTAATATTTGACAATCAGGCGGTGATACTAAATACATGTTCCGTCACTGTCACAGATTTTGATAACAACTGCGCAGGAGCCTCTTCTAGTGTCGAGACGATGATTGGTGAGCATTACATTACATAGGGAAACTTAGATGTAAGCTTAATGTAACCAATGAAAGGTTTTATAATACAGACTCTGAGGTTACACTAATTAAGAGTATTATCAACTTGCCAAAGACAAAATAATGCTATACCAGTCTCAATAGAAATTAGTTCAATGTTTGAATGAGAGGACGCATGATATAGGATGTGTAAAAAAAATATGAGATATGATCCGTCTAGTAGTAAGGCACTCGGTCTAAAGCCTTTTCATCACTGCCGCAGATATTGACGACATCGCCGAAGTCTTCGCTATACTAGACACAAGGAGCGGTGAGCTTTATAAGATTTTACGTAGAGCTAGAGTATAGAAAGTGGATGAAATTATTCGGAATATTTCGTCTGCTATTTCCCAATGTGTTTGGTTAGATAGTCTCACCCGTACCTTCTAACACCCTGGTTCTATGCTTACTGTGTCTACTTCCCTCGCTGTCTCCGATCCGCTCGTTTCTATAGGTGTTTCTAGGTTGTGTTATAAATAACTTTCAATATATCTATGTTGGCTTTAATGAAGTTTGTTCCGTCTCTAGATAAAGAAAACGTGCGGTTCTCGTTATTCGAAGGCGCTGCAGCTAGCTCGGAAATGGACCGCGATGCCAGTCTTAAAGTGACTTGTTTACCTCCGGCAAGAGTGGCCGTACCCGGGGGACATCGCATCGTCGCTGTAGCGTGCGGCTTGCATCATACAGTTCTGCTTACTGAACATGGTAAGTGGAAGAAACTGAAAATAAGTGTGATAGTTTTTTCCATTCATTTTAGCTTATGACAAAGTTTAAAGTTGTTATGGATATTTGAAGTTTATTATAGATAAAATTATCTATAAATATTTAAATTTTTTAGAATACTGTGTTATTGTACAGACCACGAATTAAGACTGGACCACAGTTAACTGATAATAATTCTTCTTCTACAAGCAAAAGCAAATTATCAATTTTCTGAGCAGGCGTATTATTGTTTTATAGGCGACGTCCTAACCTTCGGATCGAACCAGTACGGTCAGCTCGGGGCTGGTGATATAGCCGTACATCACAGAATAGTACGAGTACGGGTCCCTAAAGCATCAAGCGTGGCTGCTGGCAGTAACCACACTGCTGTATTAACGAGAGATGGAGAACTCTACACCTTTGGAAGCTATCAGGTAAGATTTTGACCTACTGGCCACTGACTGCGCCTATGTGTGCGACGATGTGATAAAGAAAGCAGGTACAGTACAGAAATATCTTCCGAAATCGAAACGGATGAAATGCTACCAACGGTCATAATAGACATTTAATTTTGATGATCATATGAAATTCACTGCAATTTAAATTGGAAGAAAATTAGCTTATCAAATATTTCTCGGTTGTGGCTCAATTACTATCTTTTTCACGTTTTAGAAAGGGTCACTGGGGCGTCCCCGCATGGAGGAGCCTCTAAGATCAGATCGAAGCCCTATCTGGTACGCTACACCCGGCCGGGTCCCCAGGTTGGGACCCCGACATTCTTGTAGAGCGGTTTGGGTCTCGGCTTCAGGAGATCAAACCTTCGTTCAGGTGTCCCAAGCTTTGATCAAGACGGATACACTGTTCAGCTCAACAATCACGGCTAATTCGAATACTATAAGTAAGTACCTATAATACAAGCTACGCAATGATAGTTATTGCTTTGCACCCCCTAGATGGCGCTACTATAGTCTTAGGTCATTTTGGGACAATCTTAACTTGTCAAAATTGTAATGTCCAGTGGTTTTTTATTATTGAATACAAAAAGTTATTGAAGAAGATATCTAAACTCGTACGCTTCGGAACGTTTAGCTTTTGTTCATATTCTTTTATTATTAACAGTGAATATTAAAATGTATGTTTCTCTTTCAGTAATTTTACCAAATCGACCGGAACATACGTTCAAATGCATAACAATAAATAAAATGGACGGCTCATGCAACACGTGGACTGGCTCGGAGCAAGTGGACTTCGTAAACAGTCTCGCGTGTCTCGATCCTTTATACGACGTCCTTTGGTGTTACCAGCCTCAGATGAGGGTCATGAAGTGCTACAACATACTGGCTTTCGACTCGCACAAATTGCAAAAATGCTGCAACGATCCCGAGTCGTATTTCGGTGAAGGAGACTTTGAATACCCAAACTATGGCAGTATGAAACGCTTAGAAGACTTTAAGAACTTGGAAAACTTTGATCTGTCTTGTCGTGACGAGGATAGGCCGACGGACAATGTTGCTCTGTCCAATATGTCGGTGCTGAACCAGGAACTCGCCATTCCATCAGCTATTGGTTACTCTGTTACTCGAATGCACGCTGCGCTACATCTTCTGGGATGTCTAGATTCGTTGACTTATGCTCATGACATAAGGTAAGTTAATTTTTTAGTTCGTTCGTTCATTCTTTAGTAGTTTTTATGGTATAGGGTGGGTAACGAGAAGACGTATCAATTGATGGTAAGCAATTGGCGTTGCCCATGGACAACTTCAAGACCAATGGAGTTACAAGTACGTTGCCGCCCTTTTAGGGAATGGTGATAGGGAAGGCTTGTGGCCAAGGACATATCAAAAGTATATATTGCGACATACGGCGAGATTAACGCTAACTATTTGATATATATAATATACTAACATATAAAATCACGCCTTTTTATCCGCGAAGTGGTAGGCGGAGGTGCACATTTCGGCATTTTTTTGCATCTTTTTTTTGCATCCTCAACGACAGCCCTCAAAAAAAAAAAACTCAAAAGCATTTATTTCAATTAAACCATAATTTGGTACTTAATGCCACTGTACGAGGTAACACCCATTTTTCACTATTTATGTTATGAGTACCATGTAATAGAGGGTGAGCCTATTGCCATATACCGGGCACATTTCTAGACTACCGTGCTACTACTGAGATTTTTAAAAAATCCAGTAATACTTTGCCCGACCCGGGAATCGAACCCGAGACCCCTTGCTCGGCAGTCGCACTTGCGACCACTCGGCCAATGAGGCAGTTATTATCATCAACTATTTGATACATTTGGGCCTAAAGTATAGACATACGGTTTGCTCAGATTGACATATTTTCGAATTGTGTATTAGGTAATAATAATTAACAACATTCATTTTTCAGGTTAAATCAATCAGATTCTAAGAGAGATAGCTTGGGGTCTCCCATACTTCCTGTGAAGGAGGATTATCAGACTGTGAATAGATTCGAAAGTAACGGTGGAGGGTGGGGCTACTCTGGACATTCGGTTGAAGCTATACGATTTATGTGTGACACTGATATATTGTTGGGTAAGTAACTTATATCCCAACTTTCCCCTTTATCACTACATAGTATAAAACAAAGTCGCTTTCCGCTGTCTGCCTGTCCCTATGTATGCTTAGATCTTTAAAACTACGTAACGAATTTTGATGCGGTTTCTTTAAATAGATAGAGTGATTCTTAAGGAAGGTAATACATGCTTATTGCACCCGTGCTAAGCCGGGGCGGGTCGCATTTATTTATATACGGCGGCCGTAACAAATGCTTCTATTGCTATGTAGGTAATTCAGCACGGGTTGTATGATGCACCAATCCCTTTCACGTCTTCAATGATGCTTTAGATTTCGTCACCTAAAATAGATTGTATAATCAAAACCAATAAATATTTTGTCAGGTGGTATCGGTTTATACGGCGGTCGTGGTGATTACACTGCGAAAGTGAAGTTGTACGACATTGGGATCGAAGGCGGGGACCAGGAGGGTGACGGGGAATTAATCACTGAGAGTGATGAGATCATATACGAGTGTCCACCAAGAGATCGATTCCCGGTCATGTTTGATAACCCTGTGCCGCTAGCGGTAAGTGAATCAATAATTATGAAGTTTTATACCATGGCTTTATACTAGTGTCTGATTTCTTACAACTTGCCTTTTTTACAGGCTAACCGATGGTACGTCGCATGGGCTTGTATATCCGGACCCTCGTCAGACTGCGGCTCTTCAGGCCAGGCAATGGTCATAAACGACGAAATAGGATTCCATTTCAAAACCTCCAAGAAATCAAATAATGGAACGGACGTCAACGCCGGACAAATTCCCTGTTTCATCTATAACACGGTCAGCCCCGACCAGTCTTTACCACTCAAAGTTGTGGACTTGGGTGAACCAGTAATAGTTCTATCTAAGAACTTGTCGAGAAAAGTGACTGTGTCCTGCTTCAAATCGCTTATAACTTTATTACAATGGAGCTGGGACACCTTCAAACAAATCCTTCTGGAGACAAATGGCTTGGTGCCAATTAACTACCAGAAACTGACTGTGATGAAACATCAAAAGAGGTTGGTTTATGTGATCAGAGCGTGCCTCCGACTGGTGAAATCTTATATCAACGAGATTTACCCACAAAACAACAGGAAACGCAACTCCCACGAGTACATGTCGTACTTCGAGGCTATTGCTGAAGTACGGAACTTGATTCAGGCGATAATGGCTGATCAGACGCCTACATGTTCCATGCTGCCTCGGAAGCCAGGGAAGAGTAAGGCTCATAGAGTATGCTATGTGCAGTTTGCTCTAGAGTTGATCACATCGATATTGAACGAAGCTCATGATACAATAACAGCATGCTTTCACGCGTTCTTCCCCACTCCAACGCTGAAATGGAACCATCTTTGCTCCATGTTGTTTAACGTTAAGGTATGTAGTTGTAAATCAGTAGTACATGATGATTCTCTTTACATAGTATGTACTATTAATTATGCGATACTTATTTCAGGAAGGTGTAGTACCGGCAGCGCAAATACGCGAGTTGACAGCGTCTTGTGCCGCAATGTGCGCGTCACGAAGTTTACGCGACGTCTTACAATACGTAGTACCTGTAACACAAAGCTATATAAATACCAATGAAAACCGCCGGCCAGACAGCAAGGCAAGGCCAAATTTTAAAAAGGTTCACCATTCATTTTTATTAAATAACATAACACTTTTCATTTACTGCTTCGCTGTATAGTAATTTTACATTCTAGTTGCTTAGTATTAAGTTACTTGCTAAATTGTAGTCTTTATAGCACTTCATTTTGCCATGACAAAATATTGCTAGACATATGTAATTTTAGTTAATAATGTGCTATTTTCAATTGTGCAGATAATCATTAAAGAGATCCCTGCTAAGTCTGCGACGGTCCCGCGATCGTCGCATGCGCAGAAACCACCTCCCATACCTCCGCGAGCCAACAGTAGAGATGCTACGAAAGTAAGCCCCTTTGTCCTTTTAAGGCTAAGATCTAAATTACACCTATGTTACACACACTTTCCATCATTAAATAGGTAAAAATTGGCAAATAAGTACTATTTCGGACCCTATCCTGTAAATAGGTTAAAATGAAAACAGACTACCCTGCCCAACCGTGGAAAAAACGGAAAGTCCTAAACGCACACCCCTTGTTAAGGTTAATTAACAATGGGTCTCTCCGTATAGGGTCTGTTGACTTGTTGAGCCCTTGTGTGTATGCGGCCAACGAAGCAATTTCAATAAAACTTCTTTTCCACACAGCCTCCAGATACATCAGAATCAAAGCCGAACCATGCTGATTGGCACTTACTGGACGTGATACCTCGTTTACTGGACATCGTCCTAATTCCCATCAAGCAGCAGATGATGACGCGTCAGTGTGGCCAGCCTCATGACCACGGGGAAATAAAACAGCAGGAGAAACTCTCCGAGTATTGTTGTAAACTCATTGCTAGGGTCGTGGCTGAAATGTCTACCAGTGCTACTTCTATTCGGGTGAGTTTTAGTATATTATGGTGGTGATGTTACTTATGTTGGAAAATATTTCAACTAAATTTGGGTTGATATTTATCGCTTTAGGAGTCGATCGATAAAGAATTGTGCCTAGCGATTGATCGAAAAACAAGCATGTTAACGGTAAAATGGGGTGAATCGGGATCGAGTGGTGAATAGGGATAGAAGAGAGGTGAACCGATATGAAGAATTTCCTAATATCTATTAACCTCTCTTCTATCTCTATTCTTCCCTCGATCCCAATCCACCCCATTTTACGGTATTGGGCAATAGCCCAACAACAACTTAAAGTTATAGTAAAATTAATAGGTCAACAGTCGTTCTTAGTAAAATTATGATGGTGACATTGTTGTATGGTCTAAGCACCCTAAACTATACTTTTTATCTGAAATTGTACTGTATAAATCGTACTAGGATATGCTTATTTGTCCTTTGGTACAAAACTATAGGAGTAAACATTTGTTTCATCAGGACACGGACTCAAACGTAGTAAAGAACTTTGTGACACCATCGCGGTTTATGCGAGTGAATCAATCGAGAGCTTGGAACACTGGAAACGGCAGTCCGGATGCTATCTGCTTCACCGTGGACCGACCTGGAGTGACGTTAGTCGGCGTTTGTGTCTATGGTGGCCTCGGGAACTACGAGTACTCCCTCGAACTACTACACGATGTACGGGTGAGAGGGATTATTTACACCTGAACCTCTGTGTTTTTTTTCTTTTGTAATTAAAGTGTATTGTTGGTAAAAGAGAGTGAGAGAGAAATATAAAGTGAGAGTGGTAGAGTGATGGGTGGTAGAGAGCGGCGAAGGTGGTTAACAGTGGGAAGGCTTGAGAGTGGGAGTAGTAGATAGTGGGGTTGTTAGAGAGTCGAGTAAGTGCGATAGAGAATGAGAGTAGCAGAGATTGAGAGTGATAGAGAGTGAAAGTGAGATTAGTTCAGAGTGAGAGTGAGATTAGTTCAGAGTGAGAGAAGTAGAGCTTGAAGAAGTTATACATGTACACAGATAACATATGTTGCGTTGAAAACATTTTATAGTACTCGCCATTTATTTTCTAGCTGTCAATATTCACTGGTAATATTTCTATCACAGCTCCGCGCATCGGCCGACGAAGCGAACTCGACTCACTGCTGGGTGAGCATGGAGATCGTACACGGGAACTACAGCGCGGCTGATCTCCAACACGACGTGGTGCAGCTCAAGTTTGAACGACCAGTGCCTTTGAAGGTAAATACGTCCTATCTTTGGCTGTGTTGTGATAACGGAGTAAGAATACATTTTGTCACCACCCCTTCTTTTCTTTGGGTGTGGTATAATTCTATTGAAGGACTACATCATTTAATAGGGCAGCAGCGTCCTCTGATAAACCTGATTTTATTTAACTGCGATTTCCGACCTGTTTTCAATCGTACAGATTATGGCAGATTTCTTTTGTAGGAAAATTCTCTAATCCATATGTGGACTCTCACGGGCTGTTGACAAATGATAATTGGGTAGTGTCCAGGGTATCAAAATTAAAAATGCAATAAGTCCGTCAGTTGCATGATGAAAAAATATTAGACACGTATTTTTATTTTCTCGTATTATGTTGCAATACTTAGCTAAAATGGCCCTAAGTTTAGGAGTGGGAGGTAGTTACGTCATAACGTGCTACAAAATGTGGCACGCTGTGACCTCACACGATGTGTCAAATGACAGGAACTGTCAAAATATTTAATAGCTTTGCCTATTGCGGTTTTCACAGCTCAAATTGTAAAATTGTAACTGGTTTATGAATAAATTATTTCTTATTTTCTTAATAACACTACAGTTTGTTTACTTTTATTATTAACAGGAGGATTTACGTTACGCCATACGTCTCTGTAACCATGGCGGTCGTACTTCCAACGGCGATTGCGGACTACCATCAGTTAAGGGCCCCGATGGTACCACGTTCCGTTTCGCGTCCTGCTCTCTCAGCTTCAATGGAACTACACTGGCGAGAGGACAGATACCTAGCCTGGTTTATTATGGGTAAGTGATATTTATTTATTTTAGGACGCACAAGCTAATAACTGATAGAAAAGAAAAGATGTCCTTCTGTTTCAGTAAATCTATGAAATGATGAAAGTGCTAGGCAACTTAATAGTAAAACGCCATCTATCCACGATAGATTAGAACTTATAAACCGCCATCTATCATATCTGATATGGGGTTAAGTTATAATTTTGTACAATACACTTTTAAAAAATATAAATGTTGCATTGGAAGCTAGAGAAATACATATTAACTCCTTCGCTATAAATGTTGCATTGGAAGCTAGAGAAATACATATTAACTCCTTCGCTGCCTCGTAGGTCACCAGTCACCATTAACTTACTTTAGCGGAGGATTTACTTATAATAGTTTTACATGACATGAACATGGCGTTGTATACTTTTTTCCTACCGCTATTAGAGAAAAAGTATTTCTTCTACAGGTCGTCAAAGAACGTATCAAACTCATCGGAGTCGGCAGACAACCTTCTATCCTCTCTCCGGTCTATCACTCTTCGCGTGGCTTCCACTGTCATGGAACGTGGAGCCGACCTGTTCTGCACGTTGCGCAATGAGTTGACTGCTGAAGACTTAAGAAGAAATGCTACAGTGCTGCAGAGCTCACCGGCTATTAACATATTGATACCATATACCCTCGCCAACTTGGATGGCGTTGATGATTCTAAGGTACGAATGAATTTTCCTTCTTTTTAATACCAAAGTAGACTAGATTTTCGTAACTCTAAGTAATTGATATATATTGGTATAAAATGTCAATGGTCGTCCAAGATCATAAAAATATGAGTCGCCTTTTAATACATTGTTATATCGTACCGAAAATCCCCAAAATTTGTTCATACAAAAGTACTCTCTAAAACATAAGAAATAATGTCTATAATGGAGTTAGTGGAGAGCGGTCACCGGTGACTGCTTGGAGATTGAACAGTTATTACTTAAGGAGATACGTTAAGCTGGCATAAATGCAATGTAAAACCTATGTTTTAACAGTTATGTTACGAACTATATTACCTTTTACCCTCATTGGCTACAAAAAAGCTAATAAATTGGTTATACTCATCTTGGTACAAAATATAGTGTAATAAAATGAATACATTACTTTGCAGAGCGTCATCAAGATTCTAGAGATGATTCACAAGCTGCTTCCTCACGTGGCAGCTATGAACTTGTTAGTGCCAAGTGTTGAAGAGTCGGGCACTACCACGGGACATTATTATACGTGGCTCGAAAGCGATCACCCGTACAAGCAGGCTACTGTTACTAACATGAGGTTGGTTACTCTTACTATTTTACTAATAAGCTGTAAAGCTTTTTGATTTAATATACAAACAATTATTGAATCTAACATACCAATAGTAACTGAGATAGAATAACATTTTGGGCAAATTGTGTAACTTGCGCAAAATAGATAAGGAGGCTATAATTATTTTAATTATAAATATACTCTACCTCTTTCCAGGGTACTATTCCCAACCAACGTATCCTGGGTAGTCCTTGAAATGGATCCACGAAGCATCACCGCTCAGCCTGAAGATTCCCTCACCATATACGCAGTGGCCGGAACTCCTAAACATCGGTGCCATTGTGCTAACGAGGTCCGAGTGTCGGATCCGCCTTTCAGAAAGGTATATAAGGTAGAAAATCGTCCATCACTCACATCATTCATTTTAGTGCTATTCGCCTTATGATGATGTTTCAGAGTGCTCTAGACAAATTTGGGTAAGGACAACTGAATCTTACTCTTCCTTCAACTGAATCTTAACCATGCTGATACGGTACGTGGTTCAATTTTTGATAATTTATGATGTGACTCGAGTCTCTGACGTACCTTCTGAGAAAACATCGATAGACCAAAATGTGTTTTAACAAAATATTTCGACATTCTACTAAATATACTGCACGGAAGGCTCAGTGGCTGGGCAACCGGCTCATGCGCAAACTGAATGTATATACTTTTTATGTAATTCCGGGTCTGTCTGGGTATAACGTATGTAGATTTGTGTGTTTATAAACACACCCACGACACGAAAGGATATGTGTAAGGAACCGTATAATTTTTTTTTTAAGTATACCTTAAAATCGTTATACTCGACAACTTTTGTGTAAACAAACAGGTACTTGATTCCGATTAGCAGTTTACAACTGAAATGTGCTAAAGTCAGTGAGTATTTTGTAAAGTCAGTAGCATCATTATAATATTATGTCGAAATGTTATCAGCAACGTACGCTCAGCTATCTCATTCATTGTAGATCTCCTCGACACTGTTGCCAACTTGACCTGCTTGTACTCGAGTAGTTTTCTAGTAGATTATAGATCAAATAGTTTCAATGTTGAGTAAGTGATCGTTAATTGATGTACAAATTGATGTTAGTACAAAATAAAATAGTCCGTAATATTACACTCCTTAGACTTGTTTGTAGTAAACACAAATACTATAGGGCGGTAAACGAGCAAACAGAGGCCTTAGTATGAGTTTGTTTTACGTTTAAAGTAATCGTAACGAGTACGCGTACGGCGCTCTGATTGGTTGGTTCATTGGCGCCGGCCAATCAGAGTGCGGAATGCGTACTCGTTACGAATACTTTAAACGTAAATGAAACTCGTACTAAGGCCTCTGATCACTTGATGGTTAGCAATTGACGTCGCCCATGAACATCCGCAGCACTAGAGAAGTTATAACTGCGTTGCCACTGGTTTATTTACCCGATGTGGGGATTGGGGATGGGGAATATGATCCTCCTAACCTTACTCACACAAAGCAAATGTAGTTTCACGCTGGTTTTCTATGACGACGTGGGGTTACTCCGGGCGAGCTGATCCAGTAATGCCGAAGTATGGCACTCCTAATAGCTTGTCCATGGATCCTGTTCGAATCTCAGGGTACAGTATTTATGAATTGATTTAAGAGATTAGTCCAAACACAATCTGGTAAGGTAGGTTTAAAAACATTGACATTGAAGATTAATTGTGTTGGAAGTAGTGGAAGGTCAACCAACTGCTGCGTAACGTGTCGCGGGTTCGATGCCTGCATGTCTAAAAAATTATGAATCTTTGTGTTATTACCCCAAGTCTGGGGTTTTGATGTATCTAAGACACAAGAAAAATCCAAGAGTTAGATCAGTTGGTTTTCAAAATGATGTGATCTTCATCGATCTCATAACACTGTAGCTTTGTATTATAGTGGTTTACCACCATCCATGGCTATGGGGATGGGGTACCATCATCTGTGACTGTTACATGACCTATACTAAAACTCTTCACAATATGTCTTTTGATGCTTAAGCAGTAGTGAGTAGAATTCTAAATAAGAAGTGCGCTTTAAATTATAGCTAATCCATGTTTTTTCTTATCAGCGACTAGTGCAGTTGACGAATGAAGGCGAAGTGGAGGAATTAGGGGAGGAGCCCGATGGTGATGGCGTGTGTATGCATTATAACTGTACTTATGTTGGTGTCACCCCGAGGCTAGCTAACAAGTAAGTTTAAGTTATTTTAATATACCTTTTTTTAGTTTGTTTCAGTGGTCCAATGGGTTCGACAAGTTAGACTTATTACTTAGTTTTTTATGAGGACATTTGAGATTCTCTTGCTTGCTAAATAAAGCTTGCCAAGAATTTTATATAAACGACGAAAATGGATGTTTGCGCTTGCGCACGTTGTGAAGATTCACCTACCTACTCAGACAGTTCTAGAAATATAATAATACAAGCTACTAGAATACTACAAAATGTACGTTTTCGAATAATACCACTTGTAAGATCGATATCAATACAAATTCAGGTCCCACTTTGATGGAATTAGTTAATTGCCGAATAAACAGTTATTTATTTATTTATTTATTTACACTTTAATGCACACAAAATAAGGTACATAAGGCGGACTTAATGCCATATGGCATTTTCTCCCAGTCAACCTTTATTTAAGTTATGTATGTACTATTGACATTAATCTATAACAAATGGATATAAACCCACAACGTCATAAGCGTGTATTTAAAAAAGAAAAGTGACTTTTATTTAATAGTCAAATAAATATTATTATTTTTCTCCTTGTTTCAGTGCAAGTGACTGGCCCCAAAAGGCCCTTTTAGTACCAGGGAATGAAGTGATATTCTCTTTGGAGACAGCATCCGACTATTTAACCGAATTCAACAAATCTAATAAGTAAGTTGTAAACATACATATATTTTACTATTAACTCGTCGGGTACCGTCATTATAGACAATTATAGAACAATAGGTTGCGGTCACCGGTGACCGCTTGGTGTTTGACAGTTTAAAATGTTTCGCGCAACACTTGCGCAAAATTTGTACTAAAGCCGATTTTGCGCATTAGCTTACTTTCTTGGAAATTAACCAGCTTACATTAATTTGTCACCTAGTATCCACAATCCTTAGGAATTTAGGAATTAAGACTAATTAAATCTTAGCCAGCGTAATCGATATTTCCTACTGATACTAGAGCTGAAGAAACATGCGACGATCATACTATGTTGTATATGGTAGTACTGTATTGTTTATGCTCAACCTTTTGTAGATTCCCTTCTATTTTGTGAAGACTGGCTGTTGGTAGCCAAAACACGAATTTACTTAACTTTTTGTTTGCATATGTGACCTGTACTAATTCTTTCCATTTTATTTCACAACAGCGAAGATAACCGCTTCGGCTTCCGATGCCTATGCGTCGGTTACGAAGACACCCCGCTCACTACACAACGGCAAGGTCTTGTCGCGCTTGAAATGGAACTCGTATACTCTGGGGCTGCGTGCGCATCCAAGCTATTGGCTCCTGATATTGAAATACCGCCATTAACGTTTTGTAAGTATATCATAAATATTATAATGGTTATAGGTTTTGTCGGAAAAGTCTACGGTAATACACTTTTTAAACTGTCGCAAACTTGTAATCTATAGGGGCGTTTTCTCTATGATCGCTCTCGCCGAGTGCATGTGAATATCGCCTAATGATATTCGATTGTCACCTTTACCATTATACCTTTGATAGTGTTATGGAGATTGTAATTATTCTTATTTGATACTAGCTAGCTATTACCTGCGACCTCATCCGCGTAGAATATGATTCCTGTTTTATCCCGTGGGAATATTTAATCGGGATAAAAAGTCCTTTCACCTAAGTCAGCCCATACCTTGCTTGTATACAAAATTTCATCAAAATCCGTAAAGTAGTTTCATCGTGATTAACGGACAAACATATTAAGAAATGCACTTTCACAGTTTTAATATTATTGTAATCATTACATCTTTTTATCCTCGAAGAGGTAGTGGTGTATTACTCACCAACCCGTGCTGCTACTGAGTTCTCGTCCTGACCGATGTTGATCACGATTGATTTAATTTATAATTTAACATGATAAACATACAGTCGAATTGAGAAACTCCCCCTTTTTCGGAAGTCTTTTAACAGGAAGTTACAGAGAAGGCTTGTCCTTATTAGTGTTAAAGTTTTGTACTTTTCAATTCAAGTAAATGAGTTTAGATGATTGTTGAACGTACGGATGAATACAGTTTTAACTTGTTAGTAGGTAATTAAAACTAAGTTTAATTGCATATACTACGGTTAGCTGCCTAACCGTTGAGGAAAAATACGAGCAGTTAAGTTGTTAAACAACGATATATCTTTTATACATCGCGTAATATTTTAAAATGCATGATTTTAATCGCTACAAGAATAACACGTCAAGGTTAATGTGTTAATTCTCAGTATATAATAACAACTATCGTATGTATTACATAGCTCGTGTGATTGTGTTAATAGTTACTGGTAGAACCAGATAATTTTTGTACTATTATTCTCGAGGGGCATATCAAATTAATTATACAAACATATAAAAATGATATGCTCGCTGTGTTGTATCGCTCAATGCTATTGATGAGTATAAGCCCCTACCGTGCTTTGAAACTAGTCGGATTACCTCGTAAGTAAGGCATATAACGTATATAACTTAACGGGACGATCAATGAATGAATTATTCATCGGCATTATATATTATGACCTTATTTATCCGCGGTTTGTCTCTAGCGCCAACCAAACATCAGATGTTTATGACTAAAAATATTTATAAAATGAAACAACAAAGGACACTTGTCATATTACAGTAGTTTCAAACTATTTCTGAATATTCAATATTTAACTAAAATAATACTTATGTCTTGTGTAATAAAGTCCAATTTCGTATTTAATATACAGACCAGTCGCAATGTTAAGAATTTTAGCGTAGGCGTTTATCAGATCACTTTATTATTTTAGTCTATTTCATAAGTATTAATGAATTCAACGGTTTAAAACGTTTTATCTATAAATATTTTATTTGCTATTTTGATTCTTATGACCTTGAGATAAGGTCAAAGTTTTTAGAGTTGTTATAATTATCTCACTAACGTTTTCATTTTGTATAATGATTCATTGTTCTAAATCATATCCTCTTTAAATCCAGTCATGATCGGAATTAGTTGGTGCAGGTGTACCTATGGTGCGTTTGCGCAGCATTCGTAGCATACTAATAAATGTTGCCTTATATGGCCAATAGTACTGGTTGAGTGCGTTTTGTGTGCTGTATCAATAAGGTACTGCAGATTCTATTTTGTTTTTACGAGAAATCAACTTGACCTCTTGACAAAAGTTTCTTTGCATTGTAACATAACATAATATAACATAACATAATATAACATAACATAATATAACATAACATAACATCACGCCTTTTATCCCCGAAGGGGTAGGCAGAGGTGCACATTATGTCACTGTACAATGTAACACCCACTTTTCACTATTTATGTTATGAGCCCCATGTAATAGGGGATAAGCCTATTGCCATATACGGGGCTCAATTCCAGACTCCTTGCTACTACTGATTAAAAACCCAGTAATACTTTGCCCGACCCGGGAATCGAACCCGAGACCCCATGTCGGGCAATCGCACTTGCGACCTTTGCATTTTATTTAAAAGAATAATAATATTAAGTATTATTTAGCCTTTAAAAGGAAATGCCCTATTCTAGGATTTTCTTCTGTGTCGTTGGTACGATTATAAACATAATTTGTCAATGTACATTCATATCACACCCAGACCCGGAACAACGAGTTATGGACGACTCAAATAATTGTTATATAAAATAACCCAGTAATAAAGGACAACACTTCATTTAATTTAATTAAATCACTATAATAAAATATATATTTTTTGTTTGTCTAGCAACGTTGGTGGAGGTTCAAGTACAAGCTATGACGGGCGGCAGTCCAATGGGAGTGGAAGGCGAGTCTCCTCAGGACGGGAGCGAAGCCCTCCTCCTGTCCAGAGGACTGGAACTCTCCTCTCCTCCCACCATTCACCAAGTACTCGATGGGCAACCGCTGCTGCGGTAAGTCGATTGTCTTGAATGATACACATGAGAAACAAACACTTATTCTCGTAGGAATAGGGCTTAATTTCGTGTGATATGATTAATGCACTGTGGCTCCGTTGGTGTTGCGGGCGACACTGATCGCTCGCAACACATCAGGCGATCCGTATGTGTCTATGCGTGGAAAAGATACGTTTCCTAATATAATGCAGCTATTATATAAATCTTTGTTATTTCTATTCTTCCTTTAGGAAAAAGTAACAATAATAATTTAATACGCGTGACGTTGATATCAATTCTCAAACATCCATATATTACTTATATATTTTATTATTATTAGCAGTCTTATCGAGCAATTAGCGGGACAGTTTCTCAGGAATGTTGTCCAGTACATAATTTATATAATTGCAAGCGAACATGACATTATATGCAGCGTACATTGTAATTAAATGTATGTAGGTATGTTTGTAAACATAAACTATTTGAGTTATCGTTGAATTCAAACAAGTGTAATTATTTTGAAATTGCTATGTGTTTGTTTCTTATGTTGGTACAATGTTTTAAATTATAAATGGACGATGTGACGTCATATTTTGCTGCAAGAACATCTACTACTACGAGTACTGATTGGTACTTGAGACCTGAAGAAGAAACAATGGTATGATCAACGCTGCCAACGCCAGAACGAGTGTGATTTCCTGTCCTATGTTCTGTTTTCTTTACAGCCTGAGATAGGGTTTAGTGATAGTAGATAAACCACTAGAAAAATACAATAACTTTGAAATGAAAATACAACCACCTAGATCTGTCATTTACCGAAAACATCATTATAAGACTTTCGTCTTTGGGTAAATTATAAAATACATTTTTAAAACAAAGAAGTGATAAGCGTTCTTCAATGATAAATCTAGTTCTGTCAATACATCATATAGGCAGGTACTATATCATACAAAGTTGTGTATGCCACAATAGTTCCATTGTTTCCTATGTACACAACTTCTGAAGGAGACGTCGAGGAATTCTCAACGGTCTACTGCAATGGCAAGTATGCGATATGAATGAAATATGTATGACATGTCAACTGCATCAAGAGGATTTATCGGCAATGGTAAGCTGTGTATGAAGTTCTTACAGGTACCATAGAATCGTACACGCAGCTATACAAAACCAATATAACCTGACCTTTGGACGTGCAGAAAGATAATAAAGAGCAAGACCACGATAAATTGGTTTTGTTTAGCTTTATGTGAACTCTTAATGGTATGTGAACTGTGAAACAGTATCGTCTATATTAGAATGATGCCTTTTCCTTAATCAGGGTATTTATCTACTAAGCGAATGTTAACTTTTAACAAACTGCGTACTGTTTCTCAATCTCACTTTTAAACTGTTAACAAAAAGGCATTCACCTATAAAGGTTTGTATTCTGAAGCACATGAGCTCATTGTTACAGCCGTCGTGACGATATAACATTTATTTCTCCTGAGCGATTGTTTGAAACCAGTAAAGAGCGCAGTGCACACAATCATCGACGTCATTAAACTATTTTGTCCCCTCACTTCTAGGTATTAGGGCTCTTAATAGAAAAGCACCTTTCAGTTCAAATGGCTATAGGTCATGTCGTAAAATGTCAAAAACGTGCGCAAGTTGTAGTACTTGGTTATTGCCTAGTAGAGTAATACTATACTGCTATTAGAAGAACCACACCTATACATATTAATGGCAGGTTTATTGCGTAAAAGTAATTAGAGAACGTGGAATTTCAATTAGCATTCATATTGTGGATAATCTTCGGATAAATCGACACTACGTTCTGAAGAACAGTTGATCGTTCCCGGCAGTGCCATGTGCATGTTTTAACTATAATTATAAAACTGCTATAATATAGGGTAAATTAATAAAATATGTCGCATCGCATATTAACAATTACAATAATTATGTACTTATATTATAATATATAAATATATACAAAGCAGTTAATTGTGTTATTCTACGTTTGGATGTGCCAACTAATTTTTAATCTAAATTGTCATCGGTACTTTACTGACTTTATTGTTAGTGAAGGAAAATAGATGCAATAACTTTACAAACGTAGACCCCTATTCACATTTGGATGAGATCGATAGTTTTAAAAGTCGATAAAATCAGTCCCATTGTTTATCATTTGCAAATCAAAGTTGGTACGTAGTGGCAATGCTCCTGCACACCCAGTTTTATGCTAACAAGTAGGTCGCAACAGCGCTGTAAGTATAATAGGTAAGCACGCAATTTTATAGTCAGTTATAAACTGCAGGTCATTTCGTCACGTTTGCAATGCACTGCGTCATTAAATACAAACACACTGTGATACTTTCGCAGTATTAGACAAGTAAACGTTCGCACAGCAAATATACCACAATGAAACAAATAATTCCTTGTACTTTTTATTAATCACAATAATTTAACGCTACCATAACAAATACCTAAGTAGTATCTTTCGCAACACCACATCGCGTAATACTGGTCGGTGTATAACTAAATGTTGGCACTTTGCAATGACAGAGTGGGGCTCTGATGTTGCTACAAACAACACACACGCGATCAACGCATTTCGGGACCGTGACATCAAACTTGTCGTCACAATTTTTCAATGCTCAGCCCTATAGGTAGTTGTTTGCGTAATGTAGCAGAATCAAGGCCCTGAGGTAGAATTTCGATGGAACATAATTCACGGAGCGATTCATCGAACTACCTAGTCATCTATTGTGTGTCACCAGAGACACCACGACAGAGATCAATCGTTTTCACAACACAACGGCTCATAAATCTGTAGTGAGGAGCTCGGCTCTCTCAACAACTATGTGGAATTCGGTTTCCCTGTAAGTCTTTCCGTCTGGCATAACTATCTGCACTTTCTTCTTCTTTTCGTTCTCTCGTCTAACTATAAAGAATATGGCTATGGCCGCTAGAATTAACACTAAAATGACACCTATGAGCACAAAAATCCAGAAGTTTTGTTTAAACGGTCCGCACCTACTGTCCACGTAAGTTGGCAGCGATATGTAGTAGCCCTCAAGCTCATACCAGCAGGTTATTGTTCCACCTTGTTCCTTTAACACTTCACGCCACTGTTCTGCTAATTCACAAGCGCATGATGTATTCAGGTTCAGTCCATCGACCCTCAAAGTCAGTCTCGTACGGTTGTACATTAATGAGGCCGGTGTCAAATTAGTAATGGTATTGTTATCAATTAGTAGCTCCTGAGGCCCCATCACCGACGCTATCCCCAAATCCACGGTGAATCCGAAAAATGCTCCTTTCCTCAAATTGGTTACTGTATTATTTCTAAATGTTATTGGCCCTCTCGTAACTATGTGAAACCCATCTCCTTCCAATGTTTCTATTGTGTTACTCTCTATAAGGACCCTCTTTGGTGAACTGACAAGAAAAGTTAAACTATACAAATACTTAACAGATACTCCTTCCATACGGAACAGGTTGGTGACTTCCACGTCAGACAGGAACCTGCTCGGTAGTGTATTTATACTGCCTCCGCGCAGCATAAAATTGTCTACAGTGAATTTTTTAAACGCTTGAATTTCAATGTTCTCAAAAACATTATCTTGCAAGTCTATAGTATTGACTCCAGTGAGGCTAGAGAAGGCGAAGGGCTTCAGCACTTTGATCCTACTATTGCTAATGACGACATCGTTGACGCGTCCCTGTATTGCGTGAGACGAGATCTCGTCTATCGTACTGTTGGTTATCGAGATCCGTAGTCCTGGGTTCATTTCGTTCAGTGTGGAGAACGGAGACCAAGATAGGGCTCGCTCGTTAATGACAACGTGATTCACATTTCTTAGTTCTATATTGCGAAGTTGTATGAGACTTCGTACGGTGTCGGGCAGGAAGGTCACCCGCGAACAGTTATCTATAATAATGCCAGTAGTAGTAGAGGGAACTCTATAAGCTCCATCAGGTCGTAGGGTCACCTCCTGTAACAAAGGAAAATAGACTATTTTAGTGCGAAGTATTTTATTGCTACTTAAAATATACGAAATTTGATACAACACTACATCTAGGGACTATGTGTTTTAGTTTATTAACATACACAGGTAGCGATCACAATATTATGTTAATAAAATCCTAAAGAAGGTATGACTCAGTTCTAATGTTAGATCATTGTTCAAATATGTATGTACGTACTATGTATACGTTACCTGGCAATCTTTGTTGGGAGGATAGTCATGGAAATGATATTAATATACTCACGGGATAATCTTGGGTGCAAGTGCATATAACTCTAGTGAAGGGGTCGCAGCGGCACGCTTCTTCCTCGCAGACGGTCGGTGTGTTGGACTGCGCGAGGGAGCGCGCGTGCAGCGCCACCACCACCCACCACCACTTCGACCAGCGCATGCTAGTGGCTCACGTAACCATCTCACTCAGTTATTCACGCACTGAAAACAATATCAAACAATTAGGATAATCCCCACAATTACGCACACGGCACACACTTATTCACTTCAACTAACATGAGTTTTCCTTGTCTTTTACCAATGCAACAAATAGACCAACGCATTCACCGGCTAATGAAGTCAATCTGAGTCAGCTAGGTATCGGACGTTATCGCGACCGTTGTTATCAGATACGTAGCGGTAGGTACAGGACTGGTGTGACTTACTAAACCCAGATAAGGCGCAGTAATCGAACTGCAGATAATTCTTGAAACGATTAATTTCGTTGTTGACAATTTATTAACTCGAGTTATGGCAATAAATCGAGTATAAATTTAATTTTCTGTAGCGCTAAGAACGTGTTATGTTAGCGTATAGCACTACCTGACTGACCGTGTGCTGTTAATTTTGTTAGTGGGAACGGGTGACGTATAAGTGGATGTTTCATATAAAACTGAACTACTGCTTGTTGTCTGCTGACCCGCGTTTACTCACCACGGTCGAGTGTTGAGTGTGTATGTGAATTTAGCAACACTAACAGGGGAGATAGTGGATCTGATAAAGAATACGTTTGAGGTGTGTTTGTTTACGCATTAAAACGATATTAAAGATGATTGTCATAAAATGTGACTAAGTCACTACTTGGAAAACATATCAGTAGTAGAAGTAATTAGATTTCGGAGTTATTTTCTCGTTATGATGTAAAAGCTACACTATTTTCATCCACAAATCTAATAACACTGAGAGATGGTGTATTCAAAAGCCGGAGTTTTCCGAACTAGGGGCGACCAAGTTAGGATGGTGGTAATATAGTCTTCAGTGTAATAGTAACAAACCTAGTTTGATACAAGTTATGAACGGAACCACCAAACTTGCTCGTAATTAATGGTGGATTCAATTACTGCACTGCTTTGATTTAATGTCTTACTGATGTCTAGTTAAAGGGATTATTTAATTTAAATGGCAAGTGTGGGGCGTCGGTTGCTGTGATACCGTTAGATTGCAATAAACGCTTCGGGTGATTATGAATGTACGGAGCATCTAGGGTTCGGGTTTAATGAAATGATAGAAACCAGATTGCAGTATAAGATTTAAATCCACTATGTAAAACTCAGATACAAACACAAACAATGTTTATAACCTTCACGGATTCCCCGACCTTCTCCAACTTGTTCTTTGTTTCAAAGAGGTAATGTGCTGGTACACTGTATGGATGGAACTATCCAATCTTTTCGAACTTTACCGTCGTACGTGATCTCATTCGTTTCCAGGTAGCGAAATTAAATTTAAATACGTAGGTACGTAGATCACAATATCAAGTTACGTTTTGTTGTTTGTTTTATATTTCTTTAGAAAATGTATACATACATAATTGCGTGAAAACAGGTTTAATTTACCCTGACTTCCTTACTTGTTTCAATAACAAACTTAGAGTATGCAAATGATACCTGCATGGAAATAACCCTTCAGCTTAAATAAGTTACACTAAACTGCACTGAATTTAACGCCATAAAGTTAGTTCTGACGAGTAAATAGCTGGCAGAACTGAAGGGAAACGTTCAAAATATGCATAATCTAAAAGTTTGGCCATCTGTTTTGAAGTGTACCTGTACAAAAACTAATTAAACCGCTCTGGTATTCACGTTTGCTCCGGTATCATAGCTCTTTCGATCGGCTGGCCGCACCCTCGGTCGGTTTCGGTCGCGACTTTACTTAAATATAGAAGTGTGGTAAGAATGTACATCTATAAGGCATTCCATCTTTAAAGCGTCTGCTGGCTATGCTAATTACGAACGTGGAGTCGTTTTTGCGTTAAAAACGTCAGTGAGTTATATGCCCCAATGTTAGAGTATAAACTTGTTCTGAAATACATTTGATCACACTCGGAAACATGTCGACTGTCTGGCTGTCTACCCCTGTTATCGTATTGCTCTGCGCTGTTGCATTCCAACTTTCTGCTTATTAAATTGTTAACTCAGGCGTATTTTCTTCGAAAGTGTTGCAAGCTTATTAGGATGTCCCAGATATGAAAAAGGAGACGCTAGTTTTACCTGAGATTCAGTACTGATACGATTTATTTGCGTAAGTCGTGTGTAAGTAATACTGTCGTGTGAAGTTTTTCTAAAATAGCAGATAATATTCGTATTTATGCAATGTTTATTGCCCGTGGCATTGGGAGGCTGGTTGGTTTCAATCCAATTATCCACTAAGCGCGGTTGTGGTTGCCGTAAAACTCTGTCGCCAAATATGTAACAACGTGATTAATGTGGGCTACTGTAGAATAAAATTGTTGTTCAAATTAATTGTAGAATACTTTATATTCTCACACATGTGGTAGGCTACTTGTAATAAAAATTTAACACCTCATGGCGTCTCAAAGACCGATAGTTCTTTGTATTCTTTTACTAATACTTCGTTTCAAATTACATTTTAATCGTACATACATACATACCGTAACTCTACACCCACCTAAGGTATTATAAACATCCTTTGTATATTAGTGCTAGTGTTCAACAGTTCATAGATAAGATTTACAGTGAATTTTATTATTATGCCGATTCAGATGTCTAATGTGAAAGAGACAATCATCTTCCGTTGAATAAGTTTAAAGAGCAATGATACAAATTCTGTGGCTGTTCCAAATTGATGAGACGATGTCTGAATATGTTAGGTATGTATCAACTTCAATTAGCTTGATACACTCAGGTCAATATTTTTAGTGTAACGTTTTCTTGTTACATTTAAACTAACTTTAAAGAATAATGTAGATAAAAACGAAATTCGTCTAACATGGTTTTGCGATTTTTGTTGCTCTAAATATTATTCGGTACTATATCTATGCTTTAAAAGTAATATGGTAACGTGATAAATGTGCATTACGAACGCACTGCGATTCCCCAATATGCTCTCTACCCAATCATATTAATTACACTACAATAAATTCACTCATTTCCCTTCAAAATATTTAATATACACGAAATTATCTTGTAGTATTTCATCAGAATCAATCAATCGCAATGATGGAATGTTATTCGTTATTATTTTAAGTACAGGAAAAGTACTGCGTAATAAATACATTGCAGTCAACACAAGTAAATAAACAATTTATTAAATATGTTACGGAGATTGGAAATATTGTAATTAAATTACATAATTAGTTGCAATGATGGAAAAATGGGTTTTGGTCCTATTTCAAACGACGGCATTGTAAATGTGACCTATATTCTATACTGATAAGGTAGATTCTTCTTCCTATCAGTCGAAAAAATAACCTTCCCTTATTAGTTGGCCTAGTAAAGGTGTCAAAAAATTATATAGGATGTTATTATCTAGGTAATAAGATTGTATTTCAGATGTACGACTTTTCAAAATAAAGTTACCCGCTAAATGTGTGTAGGCGTTCGTTGTTTACGTCTGCTCTGTCCTATTTACTTCATCACCCATGCGTTTACAATAGGGGGAATAGGGACTGCACTTAAATAACTTAGCTGCAATACCTACCATAATTAATACCATACCTAACTTTTATAAGTACTTATATTATATTGAAAATATTACCTAACCCTGACGTAAGACCTAACAATGCTACTCTAGACTCTAAATTAACTTTATTAAATGACGAATTCAGTTTCATCAATCGTGTTTTTCTTTTCGAGTAATATGATTAAACTGTCAAACACCAAGCGGTCACCGGTGACCGCAACCTATTGTTCTATAATTGTGTCTACAAAACCGGTACTCGACGAGTTAAAGATTGTGTTGGCACCGTGCAATCACATTAGTACTTAATATTATAAACGCTATACGGATAGTCAATACCTAAGTTCCTAAAGACTTGTTGTAAAAATCAGTACTGATAATAAAATGTGTGTAAGAAAAGCTGCAACAATTTAATGAGTTTGCAATATCCCCGAGCTAGCGCTAATCTTGTTAACGTATCCAACTAAGTGTTATGAACGTTGCAACGCGAGCATGAAGCTACTACGATTGACTCTACAGATAGCAAATATTGAGTTTTTTATTAGCAAATAATATTTATTAATGATAAACTTTTTTCAAGTAAGTTCTTTCTTTTTTGCAGCACGCTCACTCTGAGATATTTGTTGTTATTTACCAGTTGCGTTTCTCATTTTGTGAAACTGTTTGAGTATTTCTGTTTAGGTAGGTTAATCTGCTGGTTATATAAGTCTTGTTTATCCCCTTACACATAAAGAGTGCCCACCTGTAGAGGTAACTCAGCCTTCAGCTTCAGCTTCTAACTCCACAGGTGTTGCCATGGATACTATTCAATCTTTTTGACACTGCATATAGTGTCCAGTTAGGGGCTTAATCCATCCCCGTGGCATAACCAGTGATATCAGTGAATAGTGTCACAGATTTTGTAGGTTATTCCATTCGTAAAAAGTTTCTTTATCAGAGAAATCGAGACCTACGAATTCCGGTTATGAAATAAAAAATGATCTTAATTTCTAATTAACATCCTCAGCCATGTGACCTACAGCTGCTCCGGAATGATTGTGTTGACATACTTTGGTCATGTGTTACAATGTAACAGTAGAGCAGGCAAATTTCACGGTCAGTGGTAAATGTAGGTAAGCCAAAGGAACGCGACCACAAATCGATGAAATCAATCGCAGACCAAACTAGCATTATGTCATCTACTATACATATAAGGCACTTATAAATGTTTTTGTATATCGTGCTCGATTCAACGTCGATAGCAACATAAACATACCGTGAGTTCCCCTGATCATCTAGCCCAGTTCATTATTCAAAGATTACGTCATTCCGTAACCGGGTTGTCCTTGAAATGTGCCCAGAACCCTATAATGAGTTCACGTTTACTTAACTTTGATATTTTATACTCGATAAATATGAAATCATTACTTCATCGCACATCGCCGTAAGCTGAATGATGCTTTTGTATAGGTGCTGGCTAACTTTAGAAAAGGCCGAAGCAATGAGTAGCATCGTTGGGAACTAATATCGCAGTTATCTTGATATGTAATAGATGTTTATTATAACTTGCAACTGTTAGGTAGGTACTGCATAAATCCTGTCGAACTTGGAACAGTGCAATTTTAACGGGTTTGATATTAGTGAAATGGAGCGCGTCCCTAGTTTATTGAAAAGGAATAAAGTTAATGCGGAACGCAAAGTCGTACGCACGTGCGAGGCATAAGTATTCAGGATGAAGGATTATTTTAATAACTTCACAACTATTACCTACTAGTACGCTAAGATTTGCTAACCTTCTGATAAAACTAAAATAAGCTTATGCTCATTGTTTTAAATAATTTTATTGATATCTTTCATAGATGATGTATTTACAACTACAAAGACTGATTCTAAAACAGAATAAAATTGATATATATGGGGGACTCCGGCCCAAAAATCGTGATTTTGTTGCCATTTTTATGTCTTGCACTTGGCCAGATTTTATTCTATGTCTCCGTAGACCAGAGAAAAATTAAATTAATAAAACTCATCGGTACTTTCTGAGCGGGATGTTAGTTTACACGCTTGACAGGTAGTGAGTTGTTTAATCTAATTGCCTCCAGTGACCTCTCATCCTTAATTTCAATTGTCTGATAGAGATGTGACCTGATTAAGTTAAAGACGGCTTTAAACTTAATTGTAATAGTCACAAGGATTATAATGTTTCGAAAGCTGTTATCAGAAAATAGTAGTGTCAACATCCCAGGTTTTAATGAATATTTCTGTGAAATGTAACTCTACTAAATACAGAAGTCACTCAAAACTGCGGGTGCACTCGTGTTTAGTCTAAACTGGTCGAAAACTAAGCATTGTGCATTCTCAATTCCTGTTAACGATTTGCTTGTAAATTACAGTCTATGTATAAAGACATATTTTATAACAAAGGTAAGGCCAGTGTTTACACTAAAAAGTTTTATTGCGCATAAACATTTG